GCAGTGGGCGGGCCGGGACTGTGGTCGCCAGCGCCGGGCTTTGTAATTCCCGCGCCCCTTACCTCCGCCCCTCCTGACGGCGCCGGGTTTGAGTTTCCCGAGTCCCCGGCCACGTGGCTCGGCGCGGCCCGGGGGAGGCGGCCGTGCGTCTCCGGGAGCATGCGACCCTCCCCCGGAGCGCCTGGAGGCGAGACCGGCGCACGGCCCACGGTGGAGCTGGAGCTCAGGCCTTTAGCGGTGCTTGGTGCTGAGACGGCGGCACTGGGACTCGAACTCGTGGTGCAGTCACTTCTAACTTCATTCATTCACTCAGCCACCGTTAACCCGGCCCTCGGGGTGCTGATGGTCCTTGAGCTTCGTCTCCCATCCCTCTGGAGCTCACTGTCTAGTAGGGGAGACAAATCAAAGTGTTACAGCCGAACCCGGTTCTTCTGCCCCCTCCCCAGAAAAAACAAACTGACGCAGCCATGTACTACAATGGAGAGTTTAATATCGCAAAGCAGCTAAATGAGGAGGGCGGGATAAATCTCTCAAATCCGCCTCCCTGAAAATTCAGAGGATAAGGTTTTTAAGGGAACTTAGCGGCCAGAGGGATTGGGGCTCTTGATTGGTTGATGATGTCATTGGGAGGTGTTGAGACTGTCTTCCTGGTGATTCTGTGATCTGTGATTCTGTGATCCCTAGTGCTCTGACCCTGGGTAGGAGTTCAGGTCCACCAGTGTACAAAGTCTGAAAAAGATCTCAAATACCATGTTTTAGGTTTTACAGTAGATGCAGCCTATAAAACAATTCCCCTCAACATCTGGTACTAACCCCCCCCCAGCTTGAACCATTATAGAGGCAGTCCAGGAGGAAGGTGTAAGGGGATGTGGAGTCCTTGGAGATTGAAGCCTCTAGTTCTTCAATGGCTTCTTGTCTCCTCAAGCATTTAGAATATGTTGATCAGCCTTGCCCCTCCCCCAGGGATTGGGACATGAAGGTGATTTTCTGTAGGTGATTTCTTTTCTTTCTTTCTTTCTTTCTTTTTTTTTTTTTTTTTGAGCCAGAGTCTCACTCTGTTCCCCAGGCTGGAATGCAGTAGCACTCTCACAGCCACCACAACCTTGACCTGCTGGGCTCAGGCGATCCTTCTGCCTCAGCCTTCCGAGTGGCTAGAACTACAGGTGTGCACCATCACGCCAGGCTAACTTTTTTAATTTATTGTAGAGATGAGGTCTCCCCAAGTTGCCCAGGCTGGTCTCCAACATGTGGGCTCAGGCAGTCTTCTCTCCTCCACCTCCCAAAATGCTGGGATTATAAGCGTGAGCCACCGCGCCCGGCTAGACGATTTCAAGAGAATTACAAAAGTGACTGAGGCTTATTTCCAAAGGAAGTGATGGCAGATTTGAGATCCAAAGGAAAAGATGTTCCGGGCTGAGGTGCAAATGCCCTGTGGTGGGAGGGAGCTTGCATATACTCGCAAGAAAGTCCACTGTGGCTGAAGTGTGGAGTTCAAGCCTATAGATGACAGCAGAGGTGAAGGCAAGTGCTGGCTGGAGCTGCCCAGTGAGCAGTTGGGTCTTCATCTAAAGGGCAGTGTAAGTCACGGGGGGTTTCAGCCAGTGAGACGGTATCCTGAGGAGTCAAATCCCTTTGCTGCAGCGTAGGTTCTAAAGGGTGATGGGCCCAGAGCCGTCGTCTGTGCTGTTCCCAGCCCACTCGGAGTCTCGTTGCCTTTCCCACTCTAGTTAAATCGCTTGACAGATAAGGGGAGGGAGAGATAGTGCCGACCTGTTATAGCACATGCCCAGGCCGAAGGGTCCTGCCCTCATGGTGCGGACAGAGAGCAGACAAGGTAGCAAACACAGGAAACGAGTTAATGGTGTAGGATATCCAGTGATGGTGGGGACTCGTTATAAAAGTAAGGCGGGCGAGGGGGTAAGGAGTGGCAAGTCCCACTGTAGATAGGGTGACCAGGGAAGCCTTGTTAGATGGTGACATTTGGGCAGGGCCCTGAAGGAAGCGAGGGAGTGAGCCGTGGAGCATGTGAGACAACATCGCAGACAGAAGAGTACCAGGGTCCTGTTGAGGGTGGGTGAGGACAGTGAGGAAGCCCTTTTGCCCAGGAGGAGCGGAGTGAGGCTAAGTCCGGAAGTCTTGGTGTGATTGGCCTGCTGTGCTGGGTGCTGACATCTTGCAGACCTGATGGCCACCTGCACGGTGGGCTTTGCTGTTGTCCCCACGTGAGAAAGGGGAGCCTGAAAGCTTGAGGAGGTGAAGAGATGAGCTTGGCCCGTTCGCAGGGGAGCACTGCCTGGCCCCAGGGGCTCCCTCTGGGCTACTCTGCCTGGGTTCAGACCCCCTCCAGCCCCCCACCCATACCCCACGTGGCATAGCCTCACTGGAGCACTCGACACCTGGGTTCTTGACATTTACAGAGATGATGGGCACTCCAGCCTCCGCTCAAAGGCCTGGATTCCACTTGTTCCCTCTGCTTCACCAAGGGGCCAGCACTGTTTGGGATCTCGTTCCAACAGACATCTGGACTGTGGTTGTGCCACCAGGGTGCCTTGGGGTCTGGGCTGTGGTTTGTGCTTTGGGGAGAGTGACTGGCCAGGTCTTTGAAAGCCTTCATAAAGGTCAGGCCTAGGAAAGACCCTGCCTCTCTGTTTGGGTAGTGCCAGGGAGGCTGGAGGCTGGATAAACACTAGCCGCTCAGTGTGTCATCTTAAGAGGTTAGCTGGAATCGTTTGCTCATCATGTCTTGAGAGGTTTGGAGTGGGACAGAGGCAGGGCCAAGCAGACACTTCCCAGAGCAAAAAGACCCTTTCTCAACCCCCCTGTTGAGGTCATGCAGTCTGGGAGAACTGGGCCCAGGGAGGATGCCTGCTATGCCGGGCTGACTGTGGCTCTCTCTTACTTCCCTGCAGAAGATTTTTCTGGCCCAGCCCGTGACCCTTCTGGAGATCTACACGCACTGGCAGCAGTAAGTGGTGGACTGAGGGAGTGAGTGGGGTCACCTCAGGGTGTCGGCTCAGAGTAAGCTTGGGTACACATCTGGTCTAAGGTCTGTCCCTGTGGCACAATGTGGACGCCGTTGTTCCTCCAGGAAGCCAAGTCACACCACATGGATGGGCATCTGGTGTGGGAGGGGACGTTGGGAGCTGTGATTTCTTAAGAACAAAAGCTTCTCACCAGCTTATAATCCACTTGATCAGCACACACTTTTTGGGCACCTGCTGAATGCCAAGTCCCATTCTAAGTAAGGAAGTGAAACCAACATGGCTTCTTCTCTCCTGCTGCTGACATTGTAGTTAGAGAGGTAGACATGAGTCAAGGAAACCCGTGCATGTGAAGTTCCCTGGTAGTAAGGACTATAGAAAGAAGCCCCTGGTCCATAGCCACTACGTGGGGAAGGCTGGCCACGTGTGGGGCTCAGGGGAGGCTTCTCTGAGGCGGTTTTTGGTTGAGAGCTACAGGAAGGTGAGCAGTGAACTAGGTAGCAGGTGGAGAGAGACCGAGGTGTGCCTGGCCGTGGAATTGCTAATGCTGTGGCTGGGGACCGTGCAAGTGCAGTTCACAGTTGACAGGACCTGCCCCTGCCAGGCCTGGGCCCCAATTGTGAGAAACCGTGTCTTACCCCAGAGCATGAGGAACTTACCCTGCACCATGGCAGCACTGGCAGGCTGTGGGCATCATCACCAGGCAGGAGCTCACGGGCTCGAGATGAGGACTCCAAGAGTCACAGCGGGTGAAAGTAGGGCCTGGTAGGGGGAATTCCTCGTTGATGCCCAGAACTGCCTTGTGTACCTGGCTGGAGGGTAGGTCCCTGTGTCAAGCTGGAAGGTAACCCACTTTGGAAGGAAAGATTGCAAGGACATGTCAAGTGCGAAGTGTCTGTGAAGCTTGTAAAGCTTAAAGACGTTTCAAGGAAGGGAATAATCCCAGGATGCATCAACAGAGGAATGGTTTCAGAATGAAGGAGGGGATGATTGTGTTCTCTGCACACACTGGCCTGACCACACTATGAGAGGTGGGGGGGGGAAGGACCTGCAGCATGTCCCATGCGGAATGATAGAGCACTGAATTGTCCTGGATGGAGAAGAGGCAGGTGAGGCACCATTTGCTGGGGCCCTGGGAAGCAGAAGTGAGCCCCACAGGCACCTGCTTTAGGAAAACAGGCTTCAGCTTCTGAATATAAGCACTTGATCATCAGAGTTATCTAAAACTGAGGTCAGCTACAGTGGGAATAGTGAGCTCTCTGTCATCAGAGGTATGTAAGCAAAGACAGAAATGGTGTGGCAGGGGTCCTAGCATCTAATGGAGAGCTAAGGCTCTTGAAAACCCTGTGAGCCCTCGGTACTTGGCTCTTCTCTGCTGCTAAGGTGAGCTCAAAGGACAGGCACACCCGTACTTCCCCACCCTCCCTGAGTTGTCCAGATGTGGGTGTTATTCATAGGATTTCTTTCCCCCAGAAAGCTGCCGCCGTGAGCTGCTCCCCGCATCCTCCCTGCCACCGTCCCCTTCTGAGAGTGAGGGGTGCTGAGCAGAACGAGGACCTTACACCCAAGATGAGGTGTGAGCCTGAGCAACCTAGCTCAAATTCAAACCCAGCAACTAGCTGTGAGACCTTGAGTGAGTTTCTCGGCTTCTCTGAGACTGTCTTCATCTTTAAAATTACAGTAATTGCTCATCGCATTGTGAGGACTAGACCCAGTGGTCTACAGAAAGTGCTAAGGCTTCCACTGGGTGTGTCCCTCAACATTAACTGAGCACCTACCACAAGCCGGCCCTGTTCTTGCTTTAGCTGGGAACAGACCAGAAGAAAAGCCCTGCTCCTGTGGCACTTACCTTCTCTTAGGAGGAGAGGCGGAATACATTGATATGTGTATAAAGGAAATCTGTTTTTACTAGGAGCATCCTGGGAACAAGGTGCCGAACAGCACATCCTAACCCATAGCAGAAGAGTGGCCACCCCAGCTGGAAAACAGGGGGCCTAGATGACAGTGAAACCTGGCGGGGGGAGGGGCAGGGGGTCAGAGGAGGTGATATCTGAAAGTTCAGGGGACTCTGCCATTCGGATGCTTATCCTGCAGATGCCCCAGACTTCCTGTGACCCCAGGCAAGTCACTAGTTGCTTTTGAGACCTGTACTGAGCCCTGAGGACACTGTTGAGCTGCCAGCTCCCCCTCCCCAGGCCACTGGGGTCAAGTCAGGCAGGAAATAGGTAGAATCACAGGAGACAGAGAAAGTGCTCAGAAGAAAGAGAAGCTGGTGGGGCATGGCCTGGGGGAGGGGCAGCCCCAGGGCCTCCCTGGGGAGGCTGCACTAGAGTGGAGGCGGGAAGGACCAGGCAGTCTTCAGAAGGAGGCACAGCACACGCAGCACATTCTGGAGGGAGCCCTGGGTGCCCACATGGGCCACCCCTCTTCCCTAGTGACTGTGGCTACCGCTGCGTAATGTCATCAGGCACCCCTGATTACTCTGAAGACTAATCAAGAATTGTAAGAGCACTCTATGAAATGAGTGAAAATGCAGAACACATCTACACTATGTGCCATTGCTGTGTAAACACTCTGTACTCAGTTCCCTCGGGGGCTGGGAGGATGTGGGACGTTTCATGTCTTCAAATCTCAGGGAGTTGGTCATCACCCATCACCCCATTGGTTCAGACAGTCACCCTCATCCTGCAGGACCTCGGAGCTTGGCCGGAAGCGGAAGGCAGAGGGCGATGCGGCTCTACAGGCCAAGAAGGCCCGCGTGTCAGACCCCATCAGCAGCTCGGAGAGCTCGGAGGAGGAGGAGGAGGAAGAGGCAGAAGCCAAAACCACCAAAGCCAGTAAGAAAGAGTCCTGTGTGCAAGGTGCTGCAGAGGCCTGGGCTTCCCTGTGAGGCCCCCATCATTGGGCTGGCAGGGAACCCAGCCTGTACCTGTGGGAACGGGCTATGGGACCCTGGGTTGTTCAGGGCAGAGTCTACCCCCAGCTCCTCTTCAGGGAGCCTGGGAAGACAGGCCCTTCCAGGACACATGGGGAGGGCCCACGTTCGGTTGCAGCAGGCCCTTGAGCCCTTCCTTCATGCCAGGCGTTGTGTCCTCGGCTCTCGGATCTGGCTAGGCTCTTGCAGTCTCCTTTGGTGGACGGCAGCCTGGGGTTGTCTTCTCACAAGCTCCAGGCGATTCTGATGAGCTGGAAGAAGACAACATTCTCAGAAGCACTGCCAGAGCTGGGTAGTAGGTAGCAGGCAGCCCCTCTTCTGAGTGCCTGCACTGTCTTGGAGCTGCTAGTCCCCCTTATTCTGGAGTGTGCACATCACCCCTAGAAGCTGCTAGACACTCAGTGTTAGTGCAGTGGTGGGGGTGGCCCATCCGAGGCCTTCCTGGCCCAGCTCCCCGACTCCCAGGGCTCCTGGTGCTCTCCCATAGCAGCCACAAGAGAGAGGAGTTGCTGCATCTTCTATGCATCGTATTAGTATTTTTTGGTTACATAGAAAACAGTTTTTTGATTTTTTTTTTTTTTTTTGAGTTGAAGTCTCACTCTGTCGCCCAGACTGGAGTGCAGTGGTGTTCTTCCAGCCACCGCAGCCTCAACCTGTTGGGCTCCGGCGATCCTTCTGCTTCAGCCTTCCAAGTAGCTGGAACTACAGGCGTGTGCTACCATGCTCGGCCAATTTTTTGATTTATTGTAGAGATGAGGTCTTGCCAAGTTGGCCAGGCGAGTCTTGAACCCGCGGGCTCAGGCAATCCACTCACCTTGGCCTCCCAAAGCACGGGATTACAGGCTGAGCCACCGAGCCTGGCCAGTTTTTTGATTTTCAAATACATTTTGCAATTATAAAATGCAGGATTCTGTACAGTGTTCCTTGTAGAATATTAGAAAATTACTTTGAAGCAAAGCAGGAAAAAATTACCTATATTCTTACCACCTACAATTTAGCAAATTATTTTTCCTGAGGCTGCGCTTTTTTTTTTTTTTTTTTTAAATAGAAGGTCTCGCTCTGTCACCCAGGCTGGAGTGCAATGACATGATCATAGCTCATTATGGCCTTGAACTCCTGGGCTCAAGCAGTCCTCTTGCCTCTGTTTCCTGAGTCTCTGGGACTGCAGGCATGTGCCACCATGCCTGGATAATTTTTTCAATTTTTTATAAAGAAAGGCTCTTGCTATGGTGCCCAGGTTGGTCTCAAACTCCTAGCCTCATGTAATCCTCCTACTTCAACCTTTCTAGTCACTGGGGTTGTAGGCATAAGCCACTGTGCCTGGCTTCCTGATCCTGCTTTTAAAGTTGTTTGAGATCATACTAGATATGTATTTTATATCTTATTTAATCTTAAATCATAAATGCAGATCAAGTTCACTTTGAACTATACAAAAGCATCTAGGAGAAAAGTGGAAGGCTTCCTCTTCTCCTGCCCGGCTCCCCTTGCGTTCCCTCCGTGCGTCTTGGGTGGGGAGCTTTTAAGGCTTCTCCTGTGCCTGCAGTCATGCAGATATGCATACATGCATGCCCATATGCAGATCTACACATCATCCTAAACGAATGATGAGATTCCATACTGACTGGCTGTTTGGTTATTAGTTTTATTAACTGTGATCATGGAATTGTAATGATACCTCCTTTTGGTTTCTTCCCTTTTTTGTTTTTTTTTTGAGATGGGTTCTCACTATGTTGCCCAGGCTGGTCTCGAACTCCTGGCCTTAAGTGATCCTCCCACTTTGACCTCTTGAGTGTATAATTATACCTTTTAAAGTGTCCTCAGGCTGATACAGTGGCTCAAGCCTGTAATCCCAGCACTTTGGGAGGCTAAGGCGAGAGGATTGCCTGAGCTCAGGGGTTCGAGACCAGCCTGGGCAGCTTGGTGAGACCTTGTCTCTACAATAAATCAAAAAATAAGCTGGGCATGGTAGCGTGTGCCTGTAGTTCCAGCTACTTGGAAGGCTGAAGTGGAAGGATCGCCTGAGCCCAGGTTGAGGCTGCGATGGCAGTGAGTGTGCCACTGCACTCCAGCCTGGGCAATAGAGTGAGACTCTGACTCAAAAAAATAAATAAAGTGTCCTCAGTGGGAGAAACATGCTGAAATGTTTGTGAGCAACATGATAGGATGGCTGATGCTTTCTTCAAAATGATGCATGATGTGGGAGAGCAGATGAGACAATAGATGAAATAAGATTAGCCATAGTTGCTAATGGGTAGTGCTGAGTGATTCTTCCTCTCTACTTATGAATGTGCATAAAATTTTCCATAATTTAAAGAGAGAGATGGAGCCAAGTATCAGGAAAAGAATTAGATCACACCATTCATCTCAGCAACATCCTCTTTAGCAAGAAGTCACCTAAGACCTAGATCTAAGGAGATCATACCCTAGTGTGAAAGGCTCGCAAGCCTGCGAATTGCAGCAGCTCCCAGGTCTGAGGCTCCTGGTTCAACTGCCTCTCCACTGAGAAGCTCTTGAATTGTGAGCAGCTTTCTCTGAACCTGGGGCTGCCTGACAGCCAGCAACTTGCGAGCACGGTGTGGCAGCCTGTGTGGACAAGTGCCTCTGGCACTGTGTGGTGCCTCTGTAGTAGGAGGTGATGGGAGCCCATCCTTTCCCTCTGGGGCCTGCGTGTTCCATGCCATGGGGAGCTAGGAGTCCATAGAGTACAGAGCACGCCTTCCATGTTCCCTTCTCTCGATCCTGGTGGGCATGGCTCATGCCACAGGCTTCTTTCCCACGCAACTGGACTGGGTCGAAGATCCACCAGCCAGAGTCAGGCAGTTGGTGCCATGGAACCGCTGGGGAGGTGAGCCTGTTTGCTGTTCTCAGGTGAGGGAAGGCTGGTCTGGCTCATCTGGTGGGTGTTTGTGTCTTGCAGCCCTAAAGCCGGCGTGTACCAACTCCTCTACCCTGGCAATAGGCTTACCATCAAGCATGAAGGAAAAAGCCACGGTGAGTGAGACAGCCTTCTAGGCTGTCACCTGTGAGAGTGGAGATGCCCTGTGTCAGAGGACAGGGTCGTGAGTAGTTGCCCAACTGTATTTACATCTTGACCTGTAGCACCTGCTGTGGTATCTTGGTGAGGCCCTTCGCCACTCTGGGCCTCAGTTTCCTTTTCTGTAAGATAAGGATGGTGTGTACTGCAGTGGGTGCCTGGGACGGACCCACCTTCTGTGCCTGGGACGGACAGCTTTCCCTCCTTCGTCCCTGCTAGTCCTTGGTCACTCAGCAGATCTTCACCAACAGCTGTAAGGTCCAGGCACTGAGCTGGGCAATGGGAACACCGAGGCGAATGAGACACCTGTCATGTTTCCGAAACTTTAAAGGTGTTTCTGAACCAGAAGCTACGTAGAAAGGACGGTGTCATTTTCTAATAATCCAGAAAGCTGTGTCGCCAGCATTTGTGCACAAAGGACTGTGCCTCTGAAGTTGCCTGGAGCATTCTCAACAATGTGTGAAAGTAATTAGAAATCATGGTCATGTCCACAGCAGACTGCTGCATAGCCTAGCAAGTAACCACTGTGTCCTAAGAGCTGTGATTCCTTCTCAGCGCCCTGAGAGGGGAGGTACTATTTTTGGCCCCACTTTAAAGATGGGGAAACAAATGAAGGTGATTTGCTCAAACTCACATAGCCAGGAGGTGCAGGTTGTGCTTGCTTGCGGGAGCCTGTGTACCTGACTCTCTGCTGTGCCAGCGTGTCTCTCACTCTCACTTCGTGTAGACAAAGACAGAGAAAGGCAGCAGAACGGGGAACTCCATGCCACACCCTGTGTCCGGGAAGACGGTGGCCCACCTCCTCTCTGGGAGTTCACCTAGGAAGTCCACAGAGCCTTCTGCTAATACCGTCTTGGTCTCAGAAACAGAGGAGGAGGGCAGCGTCCCAGTCCGTGGAGCCACTGCCAAGCCAGGTAAGCCCCCACCGCTAGGAGCCCCCAGGGTTCAGGCTGACAGGACAGCCTGTCACTGTGTGTCAAGCTCTAGGATGGTCTGGAATTCAAAAGTTTGTCCCCATGGCAGCCAGGGCCCCTTACCTTAGGCCATTTCCCCACCCTGGAGGAGGGCGGGCTGCTGCAGGGACCATGCTGCAGGCTGAGCTGCCTGGGTGGAGCTTGAGCACTTCTGGCTTGTGACTCCCCAGCAGGTTCCAGGGACCGCTGTGCAGGCTCAGAGACTATAGGGAAAGGCCCGGTTTGCCTCCTTCTCGCGTAAGATAGCCGCTTGCCCAGCCCGTGTGAACCGTTTGGTACTGGTGCATGTCTGTTGGGTCCTATTAGGGCCCTTGCCAGGGCCCCACTCTGCAGGAACGCAGGGATCGGGCTGGGCCCCCATCCAAAGGGGCTTCTGTGGCTCTGCACACAGGAGGTGCTGGGACAAGCAGGCAGGCAGGTCCGGAAAGGGAGTTCCTCAGTCCCCTCCATGTTGTCCCTCAGGGCTGGTGTCAGCGGGCCAGGCCAGCAGCTCCAGCGAGGACTCCAACAGCTCCAGCGATGAGACAGACGTGGAGGTAATGCTTAGCCTTGGGCGCTGCCCTTCCCAAGCCTCTGGCCCTCCGAGGAGCCTCCCAGGTCTTCAGACATCAGTGGGCCCAGCTCAGTTCAGCATCTGTGTAGAGTGATGGGGGCAGTGGGAGGGAGTGGAGCCCGAGGTGCTTCCTATACTCCAAGCATGTGGGAGAAGGGAGCGACCTGTAAGGCCAGGAAAGCTTCTTAGAGCGAGGCCCTGGGGCTCCGTGGGGAAGGGTGGGGAGGTAGGCGTCCAGCAGGAGGAGACATGAGAACCAGACCTGGGGCAAGAGTATGGTGGTCACGTGGAGTGTTCTGCCAAGAGGGTCTGGGCCCACTGTGAACACTAGGCCTGGGCACCTGGCCAGAGTTGGGCGGGACTCAGTCCGTAGCCTTGTCTCTTCTCTGAGCTTTGACCTGGGAGAGACCTCTGCAGGCTCTTCCTTGTTGCATACCTACTAAGCGCTAGACCTAGGGGATGCAGGGAGGGTCCTTGCATGCTTGACTATGGCAACAGCTACTCTGAAGGGAAAACGCGGGGCCGTGGGGTCCATGATGAGTGGGCATGAGCAGAAGGAGCAGTGTGTGCCAGTCCGAGGCAGAGTGAGCTGGGTGCTTTTTGACAACATAGATCTGAAATTAACAAGTAAGGGGAAAGTGACACGAGACAAGGTCACAAGAAGGCAGGGGCCAGTTCCACATGAGTTTGCATGTTATTCTCAGGGCTCTAAGAAGCCACAGCAGGGCTTTGGGCACCAGAGCCAGAGTGGCCTGGCTGATGTTTCACGATTGCCAGCTGCAGCCTGGATTGGAGGGCAGTGCAGAGTAAACCCATGAGGCTTGTAGGGGCAGTTGGAGTTGCCCTGGCAGGAGACACTGGGGGCTGAGGCCATGGTGCCACAGCTGGAAAGACATTTTTAGAGGGACAGCCAGCAGGAGCTGGAGATGGGCTGACCTAGTGCCTGGGGAGCTTTCCTTACTGTCCTTCCTTGGTTGAGACCTCACCCCTTCTACCCTGGACCTGACTGGGGCCTGTTGTCCACCTTCTGTTCTCACCTTATACCTCCAGCCATAAGGACGCCCTGGTTTCTATAGGTCCAGGCCTTGCCAAAGGAAAGGGGCCATCCTGGCTCTGGGAACCTGGACCCTACACACAGCCTGGTATGCTAGGGGCCATGCAGGATTCCTCAGCAGTGAGGAAGACTTGGACGCCCCAGAAACCTGGGCCATGCGGGTTCTGGCATGTCATAGAGGAAGTCACTGCCTTGGAAGCATCAGGATTTTATTTTATTTTATTTATTTATTTTTGGGTGGGGGATCTCACTCTGTCACCAAGACCAGAGTGCAGTGGCTGCTCCCGGCCACTGCAGCCTCAACCTGCTGGGCTCCGGCGATCCTTCCACCTCAGCCTTCCAAGTAGCTAGAACTACAGGCGTGCACTACCACACGCTGCCAATTTTTTTGATTCATTGTAGACACGAGGTCTCACCAAGTTGCTCAGGCGAGTCTCGAACCCGCAGATTCAGGCAATCCACTCACCTCAGCCTCCCAAGGTGCGGGATTACAGGCTGAGGCACTGAGCCTGTAATCAGAATTTTAGAAGTCTGGAAGAGCTCACAGAAGGAAAGCACGTGTACAAGGTCTTGGCAAGCCAGTGGCATGACTGGCGTTCGGTTCCTGGCCTCCCAGTCTTTGGGATGGCTCATGATGAGACACTTGAGCGTGAGTACAGACAGGGCTGTGCTGTCTTGAGAGAGAGGCTGCCCCTCCCAAGCTAAACCCTGGGTGCTAGGTAGGAGATAGGTGTCATAGCTGAGAGTTCTGTTCACAGAGCCAGACAGCCACAGGTTCTAGTTGGAGCTCTGCCCTTTCCCATTGCTCGTGAAGGATTTAACCTCTTTGAACCCCTGGTACTTTTCTGGAAAATGGGTATAGAAATAATTTCTATCTCGGGGAATTTGAAAATCAAATGGCATTGGGAATGAGCCTTATAAACCCTGAGCGCCTCATCTGGAAGCCTGGGGGAAATGGTTGGTGTCCTTCACTTTCTACTTCTACTCCCTCGTTCCAGGTGAAGCCCTCTGTGAAACCAGCCCAGGTCAGGGCCCCGCCAGCCCCCTCTAAGGCATCTCCAGTGGGCAGGACAGCCCCAGCCCTGGGAAAGGTGGGGAGTGCAGGACCCCAGGTCAGAGGAGGTGCTCTGCCTCCGGCCAAGGGGCCCGGTAAGTCCGGAGAGAAGACTGAGAGTAGCGAGGAGCCATCTGGAAGTGAGGAGGAGGCCCCCGCAGGAACCCCCCGCCAGGTGAGGCCAAGAGGGCTGCCAGCAGGCTAGACTGCCGGAAGCACCTTTGCTGAGGATACTCGCCCTGGAGCTGGGTGTGGGAGGCAGGGCCATGTTCCACGCAGCACCCTGGGTACCTTCTTCCCCTTGGATTTCCCGAACCCACTGCCGGTGACCTCTCCTTTTTGCCCCTGCCTCCTAGTCTGGTAAATGGGCTATTCGTCCTACCATGAGGACACTTGAGAAGCTCTCATCACCTGGTTTTATGTCTTTAAGCTGCACTAGCCTTGAGCAGGCCGGCACCATGTTAGCTGCAGGGGGCCCAGTTACCGCCATGTCTGCTGGGACCCTGCCCTGGGGCATGGCCAGGCCCGCAGTCCCCATGGCTCTGGGTGCCTCTCAAGGCAAACCAGAGAGGCTAGGAAGCTGTGGGAACCAGAGCAGTGGAGAGTGTGGGTGAGGGCGACCCTAACCCTCCCCCAGGCTTGGGGCAGGATGGTGAGGGGCAGGCAGCGAATAAGCAAGATAGGCAAGACCCCTCGTGTTCCACACAGTAAGCGTAAGGGTTGTCCGGTGGGGCAGAGGAGTGGCAGAGTGATCAAGGAAGGCGCGAGGGAGGGGATGTCTGCCAAGGCCCTGGGGTGGAGTGGGCATGGGCTTGGGACAGGGCAGCGTGCCGGCTCTGCAGGTTCTGCTGTGCCCAGAGCTGCTGAGCGTGGTGTGGCGTCCGTCTTTCAGGGGCGCGAACATGAACTTCTGCGTCACGTCTACTTTCCCTCCGTTGGCTCAGAAATGTAAAAAGAGCACGCCAGCAAATCCTGGAGTAGTGGCACCAGCGTGGGAAAGTTCTTAGAGCTGCTGTTCTCTGGGTGGTTGGCCCAGGGCTGGGCGGCCCAGGCCTGACCGGGGCGACCGGGGCCTGCCTCTGCTGAAGCCCCAGAGCAGTACGAAGCCCCAGGAGGGGTTGGCGAAGAGGGTTTAGGCAGGGTCCTTTCCTCCTGGGGCCAAGGACGTGCCTCCCAGGGATCCTGCCGTTCTCTACGTGTAAATGTCCAGACAGATCACACACGCCCCATCCCTTCTGCACTATAGATAGCCTCTGTTCCCAAGGCTTCCCATCCTCCCCTGGGGCCTCTGCACACCCCTCTCCACAGCCTAATCAGACAGGCACCCACAGCAGGGCCTGTGCCCTGCGCTCTCAGATGATGGGAGCCAGCCCACGACAGGCTGTAGCTAGGGTGGCCCTAACAAGGTGGTGCCCGTCTAGACCAGGGACTGAGGAGGCTAGGAGAAGTGAGTAGGAGGTATGAACGCCCTGGGAGGAGGCTGTTGTGGCTGGAGCAGCAGTCACGTTGGGGGTGAAGAGGGCAGCAGGGGGTCTAGTGAGCCCCGTAAGGCCCCTGGGCTTTCTCCTGTAGGTGTCGCAGAAGGTTTTCAGAAGCAGAAAAAACTGCCTCTTCTCTTTTACTAGGTAAAGGCCTCTGAGAAAACTCTCCAGGTTGGAGCTGCCCCAGCCCCTGCCAAGGGGACCCTTGGGAGAGGGGCAGCCCCAAACCCCCCCGGGAGGGCAGCGCCTGCCACCACCCCGGCCCAGGTGGGGAAGCAGGAGGAGGACTCAGAGAGCAGCAGCAAGGAGGAGTCGGACAGCGAAGAGGAGACACCGGCTGCCGCAGCCTCCCTTCAGGTGAGGCCGAGGGAGGGAGACCCTGTGTGGCCAGGCCCTCCCAGAAGACCTCCTCGGGAAGGCTGTCCCACCCTGTGCTAGAGCCCAGGCGCATCTCATACCCCAGCCCCCTCCCTCCACATGGCATGATGCCATCTGTCCTGTGTCCTCACGCCTACCCTCTGGGCTCCTTGCCCTCATTCTGTTCCTTCAGGCAAAGCCCTCAGGGAAGACCCCTCAGCTCAGAGCTGCCTCAGCCCCCTCCAAGGAGTCCCCCAGGAAAGGGGCTGCCCCAGCACCTCCTGGGAAAGCAAAGCCGGCCGCTGCCCAGGCTCAGGTGGGAAAGCAGGAGGAAGACTCGGAAAGCAGCAGTGATGAGGAGTCAGACAGTGAGGGGGAGGGGCCGGCAGCCAGGACCCCAGCCGGGAGTGCAGCTCAGGTGAGGCTGGAAGACACTGACAGACCCCTGTGGCCTGTGCTTCCCTGCTGTGCCTGGAACCCTCACACATCCTTACACCGCCCTCTGGGTTCCCCTCCATGACCCTGTCCTTTGGCTCTCCCAGGCAAAGCCCTCGGGGAAAACATTCCAGGTGAGCCCTGCCCCCACCCTGCCTGTGGGGTCTTCTGGAAAAGGCGCCAGCCCAGCACTCCCCAGGATGGCAGTGCCTGTCGCTGCCCAGGTCCAGGCGGGGAAGCAGGGGGAGGACTTGGGGAGCAGCAGCGAGGAGTCAGATAGCGAGGATGAGGCACCCACACTGGTGACTCCGTCCCAGGTGAGTCTCCTGGAAGCCTCTTTCCCTCTGGTGACACCTGCATGGCTTCCAGCCCAGCCTCCTCGCTCACTGGGTCTCGCCTGCCTCCTTGGTCTGTGTCTGCACATCTGCCCTTGGAGCCCCTCCTGATTCTGTATGTCTCCCTCCAGGCCAAGCCCTCAGGGAAAACCCTCCAGGTCAAAGCCACCTCAAGTCCTGCCAAGGGACCCGCTCAGAAGGCAGGGCCCGCAGCCCCCCTGGTCAAGACCGAAAGGCCCGAGGAAGACTCTGAGAGCAGTGAGGAGTCCTCTGGCAATGAGGTGGAGGCTCCAGCAACCATGGCCCCAGCTCAGGTGAGGCCCAGGGAAGGCTGTTGCATCATCAGCCCCACATGCCAGAAGCCCCATGAGGAACTGTACTCCCTGCATCAGAACATGGGTTCTGGCTGGTGGAAGGGCAGCAGTGGGCCCCAACCCAGAGCAGACGGGGCTCTGAGTCCAGGAGCTTCTCCAGCCTCTGTCTTCGGTGTTCGCTCAGGCAAAACCAGTTCTGAAAACTCCTCAGCCCAAGGCCTCCCCAAGGAAAGGCACTGTCAGTGCCAACGCATCTGCCAAGGCTGCCCCCAGGAAAGCGGGGGCAGCAGCTTCCTCGGCCTGCCCACCCCCAGCTGCGACCCGAGGCACCCACAGGCCAGAGCAGGGCTCTTCAAGCAGTGAGGAGTCGGAGAGCGAAAAAGAGGAGACCATGTCTGCAGTCATGGTGGGACAGGTGAGGCTTCTGGGCAGGCTGGCCTGTGGGTGGCCCCGAATGGTCCTCTGGGCTCCTGTGGGACGCCTCTTCCTCTTGTCATCCCAGGCAAAGCCTGTGGGGAAAGGCCCCCAAGCAAAAGCTGCTTCTGCGCCTGCAAAGGGGCCCTCAGGGAAAGGGGCCATCCCAGGGCTCCCTGGGAAGACGGGGCTTATCGTTGCCCAGGTCAAGACTGAGGCTCAGGAAGACTCCGAGAGCAGTGAGGAGGAATCAGACAGTGAGGATGCGTCTGTGACCCCAGCACAGGTGAGGCCTTGGGGCAGCTGGCCTGTCCCCCACACCCATGTCTGCTCCAGGGCTGAAGCTTGTTGGGGGCCACCTCCTTCCACTTTTCACTGCATGTGTCCCCTGCCTGGCAAGATTCTGTGGAGTCCCACCTCACCAGGTGCTGCCTGGCTCTCGGGGAGTTCCCACGTGGGAGAGGCACAGACATGGCACAGTCCTTCCATGTGGTGTGATGGAGGCTATGTGCCTGGGCTGCAGTGTGCCAGTCAGTGAGAGCATCTGCCCCGTGGCTGGAGGTGTGTTCCAGCCGAAGAACCTGTGTGAGGCCAGGTCACAGAGAAGCCCCAGTTCGAGTGACTCACCGCCGGCAGCACTGCCTGCAGGATCGCGCCACGGTGCAGTGGCAGAAAGGCCAGGGGCTGGAGCCAGGTTGCCTGGGGTCAGGTGCTCGCTCCGTCCTGGCAGGTGGCCTCAGCTGTGGAGGCCCCTGCCTGCCCTCACGGGTTTGGGTGAGAATGGGGAGGTCTCACCGGCTGCTCCACATGGGTCTGCTTACTGCACACTCGCTGTCACCCTGAGGGCAGAGTAGAGTCAGGAGTCAGATCCCCAGCCTGGGAAGAGCTGGGCATCGGAGCTGCCTCGCTCCTCCCCCTGCACTCACCACTCCCTGTTGATTCTTTTTCTATAACCACTCAGAAGTTAGTCATTTTATTTTTCCCGGTACCAGAGCACACATTTCTATGGAATTGTTGTACCTCCAGCTCGCTGTTGTCTTGTGGGCCTGAAGGTCCCAAAGGGTCCTCTTGAGGCCCCCCCGAGTCTTGCCGGCAGGCCCCTCCCCTTCTCCAGGCCTAGAGCTTGTGCTGTCCTCATTCAGGTCACTTAAATACCTGTCTTCCCATCTGAGCCTCCCGCCTGGCCATGGGGTTGTCCTATTTTTATTCTTTGGACCATGAGTTGTTTAATTTCCACATACCAGGGATTACCTGGGTTTCTTTTTGTGGTTGACTTCTAATTCAATCATACTGCAATTGGAGAACATATTTTATATGACTGCAGTCCTTTTTTGTGCACTGAGGAGGTTTGCTAGGTCAAGTTAATCTTGCTGTTCTTGGTTTTGCCTGCTTTCTTTTTTTTTTTTTTTGAGGTAGAGTCTCACTCTGTTGCCCTGGCTGGAGTGCAGTGGCATGCTGCTCACAACCACCAGAGTCTCAGCCGGCTGGGCTAAGGCGATCCTTCTGCCTCAACCTTCCAAGTAGCTGGAACTACAGGCATCACCATGTCCAGCTAATATTTTTATTTATTGTAGAGACGAGGCCTTGCAAGTTGCCCAGGCTGGTCTCAAACCCCTGGGCTCAGGCAGTCTACTCGCCTCAGCCTCCCAATGTGCTGGGATTAAAGGCTTGAGCCACTAGGCCTGGCTGGTTTTGCTTTCTTACGTTCAGTGTGAAAGATGTCACTCTCCTCCACATGACTTCCTTGGTCACACATGCTGCCAGCTTGGTCACACATGATCTGCGCTGTAGGGACTTGTCCTCTTGAAGTCCTGACTTCATTCACTTGCCTCATTTGGATGAGGGACCCTGGGAGGTGGGGCATCACCTGGCACCGACCAGTGACATCTTGGCATGAGGCTGGGGCCTAGAGAAGCCACCAGATCCCTCTCTGTTTCACATGTGCAAGGCTTGTACTAACCCTGCCTGGAATTCACCCTGGGAATTGCCCTCCATCTTGCTTTCATCTTTCTAGGTATTTGTTGACGTCCCTGGCTGGTCTTTAGAGCTTCTTTGGCTATCAGTTAAGATTCGGTTACACTGAAGAAAATCTCCAACAACAATGGTTTTCCGTCTTGCTCTGCCATCTCAAGCACCTAGCTCCCGCTTCATAGGCTAAGGCGGCTGCTTGAGTGCCATCTGTTACCTCAGCATTCCATGCAGCTGAGAACAGGAAGAGCCATGCTTCCTACCTTGTGTGGCACTTGGCTCACATTCCATTAGCCAGACCTAATGGCAGGGCTTCTAGCTGAAGGGAGCTCAGAGCACACCTTCGTTCTGAGTGGTCTTGTGCTCGGCTAACACCACGAAGTGCATTAATCATGAGTTTATCCAAGTGTGTATTGTGTGCTGGGCACCACTTTAAATGCTGAATCTCCCCTTTAACCCTCACAGTAGCCCATGGGTGGCCCTTAGAGTATCCCCATATTATAGAGGGTGATACAGAGACCCAGTGAGGTTCACCCAGCTCTTAGATGGAGGAGCGAGAATCAGGTCAGGTGTCTGGCTCAGAGCTGGTCTTCTTGGCTCGCAGCCCTGCAACATCTCACTGCCCCACAACCTCCTTCCTCCTTCCAGGTGAAGGCCTCGGTGAAATCCCCTCTGGCCAAAGCCAGCCCAGCTGCCAGCAGAGCGTCTTCAGCCAAAGGGGCAACATCAGCACCTGGAAAAGTTGTCACTGCGGCTGCTCAAGCCAAACAGGGGTCCCCAGCCAAGGCACGTAGGGCCTAAAGCCAAGGTAGTGCCAGGGGTTGGGGTGGAGAAGAGGACCAGCCCTGGTCCCAGGGTGGACAAGGGTCCCACAGGCGGGGTGACCTCCCCACAGTCGCACCACAGTGGGAGCTTCACCTACATGGAGCCGCGTGGTCCTCTCTGTCTCCAATGCTGCTATCTCCTTGTAATGCAGGTAAAGCCGCTAGCAAAAAGCCTCCAGAACAGCACCGCCTTGGCGAGGAGCCAGGTGTCGGCACCAGCAATGGGGAAGGCCGTGGCCACAGCAGCCCAGGCCCGGGCGAGGCCTGGGGAGGACACGGAGAGCAGTGAGGAGGAGTCAGACAGCGAGGAGGAGGCACCGGCTCAGGTGAGGCCCAAGGGCAAGGCTGGCAGCCTGCGCCTTCCTCTCTGAGCCAGGAGCTGTGGCAAGCCTTGGCCACCCCTGCGTGGGGCACAGCTGCATGTGCGTCATCGATCCTTCGTCCTCACTCTCCGAGATTTCTCCCCTCGTTCTGTTTTTCCAGGCGAAGCCCTTGGGGAAGACGTCCCAGCTCAGAGCTGTCTCAGCCCCTGCCAAGGAGTCCCCCGGAAAAAGGGCTGTCCTGGCACCCCCCGGGAAGGCAGGGCCCGCTGCCTCCCAGGCCCAGGCAGGGAAACAGGAGGAGGACTCAGGCAGCAGCAGTGAGGAAGAATCCGACAGTGAGGGGGAGGCCCCAGCAACCATGACCCTGGCCCAGGTAAGACCTGCCGGGCCCCAAGCCGCCACCACCCACTCCTCAGTCAGAACGGGGGTTCAGGCCCAGGTGAGGAGGAAAGACCCGACTAAGGCTGTGACTCCAGGATCCCTTCCTCCAGTCTCTCCTCCATGTCTCCTTAGGCGAAACCTGCTGTCAAAACCCCTCAAACCGGCTGGGCTGGGTGGCTCAGCCTGTAATCCCGCACTTTGGGAGGCTGAGGTGAGTGGATTGCCTGAGCCCGCGGGTTCGAGACCCGCCTGGGCAACTTGGCGAGACCTCATCTCTACAACAAATCAAAAAAATTACCTGGGTGTGGTAGCGCGCGCCTGTAGTTTCCGCTACTTTGGAAGGCTGAGGCAGAAGGATTGCTGGAGTCCAACATGTCGAGGCTGCGGTGGCCGGGAGCGTGCCACTGCACTCCAGCCTGGGCGACAGAGTGAGACTCCAACTCAAAAAAATAAAAAAAAATAAAAAAACACTCAAACCAAGGCCTCCCTGCTGAAAGGTATCCCAGGCACTCCTGTGTCCCCTGAGGCCTCCACAGTGCGAGTAGACACCCCAGCCCCGTGGAAAGTAAGCCACAACTTCTGCCAAGGCACACGAAGCCAAGAATCCAGAGATGTCCCAGCCAGAGGGCTCCAAGGAGACTTGGAGTCTGGTCAGGCCCCCTGAGACTCTGGGAGGCAGCAAACGTCATCTCCCCCACTCCAGGCCTGGGGCCTCACTTAGGCAGGAGTGTGTCCCAGTCAGGGGCCATCTGGCTTAATGTGAAGCCTGGGCCATGGGGAGAGAGATCTCTTCCTATCTATGCAGCAGCAGCAGGGCTTGCTCTGTCCTGTGGAAGCACACGTGACAAGTCCCGGTGCCTCCTGGCTTGGGCTTGCGATGGAAGTGGCTGGCACAGCCTAGAGGAAGTGCCGGGAGTCTGGCTGTCAGGTGAGGCTGAGGGTGTTGAGACAAGCAGGGCACATTGGAGGTCACTTGTCCTATCGGGAGGGATCATCGCCATGACTTCATCTAGTCGTAGCTGTGGAAATGTATCCTCTGTGTCACCAGAGATTCCAGTTCTTCAGAGAAGCAGCAGGCCCCAGGCCAGGCTGAGCGCTGCCCCCTCTTACACTTCTGTCCTCTTCATGAGTGAAGCCAGCCTCAGAAAACTCAAAGGCCCAGCCCCGAGCTCTGCCTTGGGTATGCCACCCCAGGCACTGGGGCCCCGCCCTCATGGTGCCCTCGACGGGTGCTGGGTTGTCACAGAGCACTCTGGTGGTGCTGTGTCCAAAGGATTTGAGGGAGACGTGGCTGTGGAGCCATGTTTAAAGACATGGTTGGTGAAGGCAGCGGTCCTGCAGGCCCCGGTCCCGCCAGTGCGAATGACAAGTGACTTCATGGTGTGTTTAAATACCAGACTGAGACATGGGCCCACCACGCTGGAGCCTCTGTGGCTGTTGTGTAGCATGTGCAGTGAGTTGCTGTCAGTCAGGGTGGCCTTAGCTGGGGAGGAGACGTAGTCGCATGGGTTTGGGTCATGGGAGCTGACTGTCACAGGGCACCGAGCCCCAGGGTGAAGCCAGATGCCAGCAGCTCAGCGTCACTGTGACCTGGCTTCTTCCACTGCTAGGCTCGCTGCCTTCTGGGCACAGCAGGGCTGTGGCATCTTCTAAGGACCAGGAACAGACTTGTCCTGCGGTCTCCTTGTCCAGACCCCAGGCCAGACACGCCACCCCAGAGGGGCCCGCTCTTCCCACAGCTGGGTACAGGGTCACAGAACGAACAAATCTGGCTCTGTCAGCAAGGGGGCATGGGGCGTGCTGTTGGGGCAACTGGCAGTGCCTTGCAGTTTGCCCCGTTTAAAAATTGGAGTCAGGATTTTTAGCTTCTCTTGAGAAACTGGGAGCTCGAGCAGCCCAGGTCCCACTTTTCTGGCTGGGCTGAGTCATGAAAGGTGGGGCTCCCCCCAGCAGGGGCACACACCTTCGCTGGTGTTACCACCTATATCTCCTCCCTGATGTCCAAACCCTCCTGGGCTCTGGCTGCCGTGCCCACCAAGCCAGCCTCCCACACCCCACCTACACTAGGGTGGTAGCCAGCAGGATGCCCCTGGATGGCTATCCCCTCTTTCTCAGATCCAGGCGAGTAGCATGGCAGCCTTGGGTTTTAGCTGCATCTGAGTCATGTCTCTTTCAAGTTCAGAGTCTGCCCTAGAAGGAGGATGGCAGCGGGGAGGCATGTGTTTCCAGGGGCCACGGGACATGTGGGCAGCAGCCATCTCTGCGTGTGCACGCTGCTTCCCTGCAGAGCCAGAACCTATGAGGGCTGTTGCCCCTGGCCAGCTCCCTCAGCAGCACCCCTCCCCCACCATTCACTTCTCCAGGCCTTGACTCCACAGAAGGTCAGTAACCCCAGAATGGCCAAAAGCAACACCCTGGCCCCCGCACCCCCGAAGGAGAATGCAGAGGAGTCCTCGGAGAGCAGTGATGAGGAGCTGCCACCCAGCCAGGTAGGCCGTGACTCTTCTACAGACACTGAGGCCAGAGCTCTTTCCTCTATGGTGACATTCATCTGCGCAGTGGCCCCGCGAGGTGGCATAGCACAGTGAGCACACAGGCTCCCCATCCTAGCCCACCGCCCAGGCTCTGTGGTCCCAGGCGGATGCCTGGACCCTTCTGAGGCTCGCTGCTCACTGAACGGCAGGCCAGTCGTGTGCTGCCTCTCCTGCCTCTATGCACTGGTGCCAGCTCTCACAGTACTTGGCACAGCTCCCTCCATTATCGTCAGGGGGCACGGAGTATGACCCCGTTTGACAGGTCAGGATCTAGCCCTAAGAACTGAAGCAACTTCCTCAAGTTCTCCAGATTCCTAAGAGGCTAAGGAGGATACACACATTGGTCCCAGTTTCCCGAATCCTGTTTTTTGTTCAGGATGGGGAACCTTCTCTGCAGGGCTCATCAAAGTCCCGTGTTCCTCACCTGAAGCCATCACATGCCCTGTTGCACCCAGAGTGTAATGCCTATGGTCCTGCTCAGGCTGCAACCCCAAGGGTGGGACATGCTGCCCTTAGGTCCCTGACGCAGAAGCCCAGGTCCGCCATGCTGGTGGAGCCCAAGCTCCCATGGGAAACCAGGCCCTTCTGTTAAACTGCATTCCTCTTTGTCCTCTGCTAGCCTTAAGTTCCCAGAAGTTTCTGTCGGGTCCCTTCCCAGGGCCTAACTAGAGGTGCTGGGGTCTCGCACCTCCTCAGTGGAACCTCCTTTAGCTTCTCTCCGCAACTTTCATGTTCTCATCAGTCCATTGGGAAGGCCGATGCTGCTTGCACACCTACAGGGTGCTCACTGCCTTTCTCTCCTCAGTAGCACAGATTATAAAAGTAACGATGAACCTGTTTAAAAATCGGGGAATGACAAAAGTCTGAGTCGGGATTTTAGCTTCTCTTGAGAAAGCGAGATCAGGCAGCCCGGGTCCCACTTTCCTGGCTGGGCTGAGGCATGAAGGATGGGGCTCTCCTCAGCAGGGGCGCATACCTTGGCTGGTGTTACCACCTGCATCTCCTCCTGGTCACCCCCTGTGCCAGGCACTGTGCTGTTTAATCCTCATGACAACCCACAAGGCAGGTCCTCTTGTTATTTCTGCATTAAGAAGGTGGAGATGGGGACCAGAGAAGTTGAGTGACCAGCCCAAGCCACTCACACCCAACCTGCCCCTGTAGCCGGGCTCCCTCTCCAGAGCTGGGGCATTGCCCTTGGAGTCCCCCTCCGGGATCTAAGCAGCTGGGGGAAGGGGCTCTTTGCCTTTCCCTGCGGGGGTGGACTAACACAATTAAAATGAACAGCACGCTTAAATGGAGCTATTTAATTGGTACGGTAGTCCTGAAGATTCTGGAGTCCCTGTTTGAAAAGCAGAAGGAAAAAAGTCAGCAGTTGTGTATTCTCCAGAGACTCTGGGAGACAGGCACGGCCTGGGGAGCCTTGGCCTCTGCCTCACCGGGGACTTTGGGAATTTTCAGCTCCTTAATCCCCAGCTCACTGATTAGGATTAGTATATTGAGCACTTCCCTGTTGGCAGGCTTTGCTCTGTTTATCACTAGCCCCCCAGTGGGGGAAGAGATAGATGCCGAGGTGACAGATCCCAGGCCAGGCCGGGAGGCAGGGTGGCGACTGGGCCTGGGTGGCTTCCAGGAAGAGGAGGGCACATATGGGCTCTGGTGCACGCGCTCGGTCGCGTAGTTTTGCTGTTCATGGGGGATACAGATGCCAGAACATCGTGTGGGTCACCACAAGCAGAAGTATGTACAGTCCAATCAGTTAATTAATTTTTAAAATGTCACTTTTTCCATTATTTTGTCAAAAAAAGAGACATAGGCCTTGCTTTGGAGCTTAGGTTGAATCAAAGTGAAAAGGGAACCCTGCAAGGAATTAAATTAGGGTGTTCAATCAGGGCCTGGCATGATCGGTCCTGGAAGAGCTCCTGTCTGGTGCCTGAAGAACTCACTTCTAATCCCAGCTCTGGCGCCAATTTGCTGATCAACCTGGGTGAGGCCACTTGCCCGCTCTGAGCCTCAACCTTCTCAGCCCCTGGGAGCAACTCCCTGGAGGCTTATGAACCTTGAGGCTCCAGGCCACATCCCCAAAGAGTATAGTTTCTCAGTCCCCCGGCGGGGCTGGCCCAGCATCTGTTCGCCAGCCCCAGGCAGTTCTGGCAGTTCTGAGCGAGGCTCTTGCAGGTGTGGTGCCCTTGTGGCCATGTGCCTTGCCAGGTCAGCAGCCTGGGCTGTCAGCCCTACTCCTCTGCCCTAGACCTGCTGGAAAGAGATAGTTATAGTGAGCTCAGCTTTGCAGGAGGCCGTGAGTATTATCCAGAAAGCCCCCATGTTTGGTACTGCAGTGGGTAGGAAGCGAGTCCCGATCCCTGGGGGCCTTCCTGCCCAGCACCCACAGGGGCGCAGCTAGGTATGGGATGGGGTCTCTGCTAGCTGAACTCAGAGTCGCACTCCTGTGTCCAGTGCCTTGCAGTTTCCAGAGTGCACCAGGACCTACCAGGGAATGAACCCGGCTGGCGGTTACTGAGAACCCGTTCATCAGTGGGAAGCTGAGGCTCAGGGCATGCAGGGTCTGAGCACACCTCACATAGTGAAGTCCTGACGGGTGGGAGTAGGAGTGGGGCGTCCCCACTTTGGAGGCTGCATGGCCTTCCCCCTTGAACTCGACAGATGCTGTCCTGCACGTCACTGTGTCCAGGTCAGGCTGTGGGCCCCCCACCACCGCAGCCAGGCCCACACCGCCTCCTCCCACAGCCCAGGCCGGGCGCGTAGGCAGGTGGAACCAGGAGGAGGCTCTTGCTGCCGAGCTGCTTTTAACATCCTGAGGCTATTGTTTGCCGCAGTGGGCTCGGTGCTCCTCTTGTCCCGACAATCTGTTCCTCCGTCTCCTCACATATATATAGATCCCCTCCCTCCGCTGTAGCCTTCTCCCACTTTCCATCCTCTCTTTCTGTAACGTGGGAAGACAGGCTCTGGAAGTGGCAGCTAGAGCAGCCGCGGGGGAGGCTGTTTGGCAGGGGTAGGAGAGGCCCAAGCCCACAGAGCTGCCACCCTCGGGCGGCACCTTTCTGCTTCACTTGCCTCTGCCTGGCACCCTGGGGCCGGGTGTGCAAGTCCAGCCCAGGAGGTGGACAGGGGGTGCAGTGGGCAGAGCCGGCTCCCAGGCCTGACTGCCCTCCCTCGACCTCAGGCAGCCTCTCTTCCTCGTGCCCTGGGTCTCCCCACTGGCTAGCAGGGGAGCAGAACTCACCAGGTCTGACACTGGGCAATGGTGGGTAGACTCACCCACCATGGTTCACGGCTCATGTGAGCTCATCAGTTGCAGGTCTGGAAGCAAACAGGCCTGGGGTTCCGCGTGTGCAGGAGGCATGCCTAGGGGAGCTGAAGCTCAGAGCTGGTCTGCATATGCCAGGGACCTGCTGCTTCTCTTCCTGCTCTCTTGGAGGATTTAAGGCACATCCAAAGATGGACTCGCATGCAGAGCCCCACGTGCCACCCCTGCCTCAGCAGTGGGGCGCTTGGAGCAGGCTTGCTTGATGCAGACCCTGTGCTCCATCCCCATTCCCTGGGTTACTCAAAGGCAGCTTCAGACATGTCATGTCATCTTCCAGGTCTCAGTGTACAGCTCTAAACAATAAGGACTGGTTTTTTTAAAGCATAACCACAATATAATATCATAACTAAACATGGACCCACCTGGGCTGCATGTCCATATCCTCGGTTGTCTCATGAGTGGTATTTTTTATATTTGATGTGTTCAAATAAGAGTCCAGTTAAAGGCCACACGCGCCATGAAGTCTTGAGCCTCTTGGGTCTTTGTTGGTTGGTTCTTGCCCTCCCATCTACCCAATTTCCCTATGCTGTTTATGTGTAGAAGAAACTGGGCCTGTGTGGCTGGAGAGCTCCATCCTGGCCTATGTCTCAGGAGGGCTGCCCAGAATATTGGGGCAGGGGCGGCTGGAGTGTAAACACCTCCCCGGATGAATCATGAGAAACACTCATAGTCCCGAACTCAGCAGCGCTGTCTCTGAAGCCAGCCGGAGGGGAGAAGGTGAAAGTGGGCATTTGGCCCTGGCTCTCCTGCCAGCAGGCATGATGGCCTGGGGCCACCGCCTTCCCGTCCCCCTCCCTGGACCTGTGATCTTCCCACCTGCACGGTGGAAAACCTGACTGGGGGTTTCACAACAAGGGTCACAGGGGCTCTTGCAAGGGCTGTGCTGGGTCTTGCCGGCATGTGGGCTGGGAGCAACCTGGGCAGCTGTCTGTCTGCCCCCAACCACTCGCTTTGTAAAACCCCTCCCCACCCTTCTTTCCCTTCCCCAGCCAAGCCTTTAATCACTGGGGGGTGTGTCTTGTTTTTGTTTTTCAAGGTGATTAAACCCCCTCTGATTTTTGTCGACCCTAATCGTAGTCCAGCTGGCCCGGCTGTGACCCCCGCGCAAGCCCAGGCTGCCAGTGCCCCGAGGAAGGGCCACCCCTCGGAGAGCCCAGCCGGGAGCTCTTCCTCTGAGAGCGAGGACGAGGAGGTGATCCCGGCCACGCAACATGAGACTCCTGGTGAGCAGGGTCAGTAGGAGGGGCTTGCATTAGCCAACCTGATGACATGGCCAGACCCATGTCTATAAGCTTCAGGGACCAGGTTCTTAGCAGTCTCAGAAAGAGCTCTGTGACTGCTGACGGTGTGGAGTGGGTCAGTGGTGGCGAGCTTCCTGTCCCTTGGTGACATGAAAAGGAACTTAGGTCATCCCCTCGCAGAGACATTGTAGAGATTTCATCTGCCAGTGGGAGATGGGACGAGATCTGAGGTTTCTTTTTTTTCTTTTTGAGTTGCAGTCTCACTCTGTCACCCAGGCTGGAGTGCAGTGGCATGCTCACAGCCACCACAGCCTCAACCTGATGGGCTCAGGCGATCCTTCCACCTCAGCCTTTCAAGTAGCTGAAACTAGAGGCATGCACCACCACACCCGGCTAATTTTTTTATTTATTGAAGAGATGAGGTCTCGCCAAGTTACCCAGACTGGTCTTGATCCCATGGGCTCAGGCAATCTTCTCACCTCGGCCTCCCAAAGTGCTGGGATTATAGGCATGAGCCACCACACCCAGCCTGAGGTTTCTTTTACTTCTGAGAATCTTTGGTTCTACCAGTGATAGCAGGAGAATGACTGATATCATTATTATTGTTTAATACTTTTACAAGGAATTAATACCTGATATTGGTGGAATAATTTAAAAACATGGATTAGTACAAAAGAAAAAAATAGCACCTGCAATCCCACTGCCCTAAATAACTATTGCTGACATTTTACAAATGCTAGCTTCTCAACAATCTGAGACAGACATGTATTTTTATTTATTTGTTGGTTTGTTTTTATTTATTTTTTGAGTTGAGGTCTCTGTTGCACTGGCTGGAGTGCAGTGGCAGGATCACGGCTCACTGCAGCCTCAGACTCCTGGGCTTAGGCAATTCTTCCACTTGTCTCGCGAGTAGCTGAACCTACAAGTGTGTGCCATCACACCCGGCTTGTTTTTTTTCTTTTTTCTTTTTTTTTAAATAGAGATGGGATCTTACTGTGTTGCCCAGGCTGATGTTGAACTCCTAGACTCAAGTGATCCTTCTACCTCAGCCACCCAAAGTGCTGGGATTACAGGTGTGAGCCACTGTTCCCAGCCAACATGTGTATTTTTTAAAGTGAGGCCACACTGTGTATAGCTCAGTGATCTTGATGGGATAGATTGTAGTATCAGGTTTTTTTTTTTGTCATTACGTATTGACAGCATGATTTTTACTGGCTACAAAGAAGTCCTTTGGGTGGTCATGCCAGTGAATTAGCCAGTTCTGTGTTGGAGGAAGCAAGGGGCTTTGTTTTGGGGTTTGGGCTGTTATAAATAGGGCATCAGTGAGCATGTGTGCAGCTGAGCCTCTGCAGGTGACCCGGGCTTCCAGGAGAGACCACCTGCAGGGACAGTCACTGAACACCAGTGCTCCAGGCCGTGACTCAGGAGCAATAGCCCAGCCAGCTGAGAGGGGAGGGAACAAGGAAAAAGTCTAGGGTCGCACCACAGCAGCCCTCTGAGCTCCCTGAGCCTTGTTAGATGACAAGTGACATCTGCCTGGGAGACTGTGAGCACAGCTCCTGGTCTCGGGAGGCTGGTGATTGGGTTGGCACTGTTGGCAGGCTCTGGAGCTTCTGTGCCCTGATGTGTGCCCATCCTGCTCCACTTCAGCCATCAGAACCAGTGTGGGGGCCACGCCCACTGCCCGCCTCAAGACAGCACCCAGAGCCAGTGGTGCTACAGCCAAGAGTGGCAAAGAGCCCAGTCGGGAGTCAGGTGGCAAGAAGCAGGAGGGACCAGCCACTCAGGTAGGTGTCCAGGCAGGCGGGGGAGAGTCCTCGCTGGCCCAGCTCTTACCCGCATGTGCTGATGGGTTGGACTATGATTGCTGTCCCTGCCCCCAGAGGAAGCGGCCTCTGGCAGCTAGAGACGTTCTGGCCTTCCGCTCCAGCCCCATGCTGGCTTCTCAGGCCACCTCTGAGTGGCCAGGAAGAGTGATGTGGGAGCGCAGCCTCCGGGCGGAGCTAGCCCTGCACCTGAGTCCCTTGTCAGATCTTCCAGAGTGGTTGGCTTTTGATTTGTTTTTTTCTCCCCTCTGGATTTGAGATGCCATGAACAAAAGCTACTGTTTCTTAGTAAATACATGTGTGGTTTTAACATTCATGCAGCCGGGCTCGGTAGCTCAGCTTGTAATCCCACATCTTTGGGAAGCTGAAGTGAGTGGATTGCCTGAGCCCGCGGGTTCGAGACCTGCCTGGGCAGATGAGACCTCATCTCTACAATAAATCAAAAAATTAGCCGGGCGTGGTAGCGTGCGCCTGTAATTCCGGCTACTCGGAAGGCTGAGGCAGAAGGATCCCTGGAGCCCAGCAGGTCGAGGCTATGGTGGCCGGGAGCGGCCACGGCACTCCAGTCTGGGCGACAGAGTGAGGCTCCAACTCAAAAAACAAAAACAAAAACCATTCATGCCAGCCTTCACCATTCCCAGTGCATTTTTATTTGTCCCTTATCTGACTCTAACAGCTGAGCAGAGCAGGGTTAAATTAAATTCCCATTGTTCAGACGATAAAACTGAGCACCCCCCAGGCAGAGAGGCCTGTGATGTGACCAGGATGGCCAAGGCCAGACACCAGGTCCCTGACTCTCAGGCCATGTTTCCTGTCCCATTGAGGGGAGAAGTCACGGCATACCCACCTCTTCTCCTAAGAGGGCAGGAGAGACCTGGGTGGACTAAAGGGAGTGGGCATCCCCAGCTGGGGCTGGCATACCCCCAACTCTCAGCTCACCACAAGCTCCAGGTCAGGAGGAGCTCCCACTGGGCCATGGGCACCTGTCCATGCCCATGGGGCAATGGCAGGAACAAGACAGGAAGGTCCTGCCCTCAAGGAGTTCCCAGGCCAGCAGAGAGACAGCCACTAAACAAGAAAGCTAAAAGACAAGGAAAGTATTCACCAGCTAGTGGGGCTGTGAAGGAAGCAGTGGAAGTCAGAGTCACAAGGACCTGCTTTAGGGACATGCGCAGGAAGGTTCCCCAGGCGGGACTCAGGCAGGGGAGCAGCCCATCACAGAGCGACTGGGCACCCTTGGGTGGGAAAACTGAGCAGGGGGCCAGCTGGGCCAAGTGGCGGGGCGGGGCTGAGCTGTGGGAGTCGCACGTGAGACACAGTGGAGAACCCAAGGCTCTTAGGTAGGGGTCACGCCTGCTGTCTCACATCCTCTCTCCCTGGCTGCTGGTGGGCGTAGGAAGTGGGAGTGATGCCAAAGGCCCACCTGGCTGGAGGCTTGTCCCCAGCCAAGGCACAGATTGGGTACTGGGGCCTTGCGGGGAAAGGCTTGGGCTAGAGCTGTCCTTGTGGTCTTTGAGTCGGCTTATAGCCCACCTTCCATGCTGCTGTGTTGCTGCCTGAGGGTGGTGTTGACCCTCCATCCCTGCTGCAGCCCATGGTCATCCTATCTGGGTCCCCCCCAAGCCCAGCCAGGCAGGAGCTGACCAGGGTGTGGCACAGATGGCATCCTGAAGACCCATGGGTCTCAGGGTGCCTCTCGCTGCCGACAAGTGATAAAGAGGATCCCAACTTTCCTCCTACTGACCCAGATCACCCTGGAGGTCCTCGCCCAGAAAGCCAGTGAGGCCCAGCCTCCTGTTGCTGGGACCTAACCTTCATGCGGGGTGAGCTTGGGGAGCAAGGGAAGCAAGCTCATCTTTCAGCCTAGCCACAGGGTGGGAAGGAAAGGCACAGGCATGGCCCCGAATCCCAGCACCAGCACCTACCTGTGGCCTTTGCACTTGGGTTGACCTCCCTGGGCCCCCGTAGCCTCATCTGTAAGAAGGACCCACAGTGCCTCTTAAGAGAGTTCTGGAAGGATCAGATGAGCCCACACATGTGATGTACATAGCACAGTGTCTGGCCCTACTGAGCATGAGCGAGGAACTGACTCCTTCCTGCCCTAAATTTTTCTTCCACTCCTTGTTTCATCAAACCAGGTTGGCAGTGCTGTGGCCACTCCCCAGAGCACCCCTGTCCAGGCCAGAGTGACCAGCAAGCTCGGAAAACCCACACTTCTGGAGGGCCAGCAGGCCACGGCCACTCCCTCAGGGCAGCCCAAAGCCCAGGCTGCTGGGAGCTCTGATGACAGTGAGGACAGCAGCAACAGCTCTTCAGGGAATGAGGGGGATACTGAACAGCCCACGGCAGCCATGCCAGCCCGCAGGCTGGGTGAGTGCACTGGGAAGGAAAGAGGGTGGCCAGAGGGTGTAAGATGCTGCTGGGCAGAGCCCTGGCCTCTAGCCTCAGCTCTGTATCCCAACTTGTTCTGCGACCTTGGCCAGGTCATCCTACATTGGGCCTCAGTTTCCCCACCTGGACAACTCCATGAGGAAGTTGGTCCAAATGGTTCAGAAGCCTGACTTTGCTGTTTGACCTCCCTCAGCTTTGTGGTATCAGGCTCCTTTAACAGAGTTTCCAAAATTGCAGGGCCCTGACCCCCCCCCCGGCAAGGGGAAAGCAGGAGACAAGGGATGGGAAGGGAAGACATGGCATCCGGGAGCTCACCTGGAGCGCTGGGAATGGCGGTGGGTGTGGCAGGGAATGTGGCAGGCCTTGACAGAGCATGAGGGACCTACAGAGCGTTCTGCCCTGCCCAGCCAGCCGGCCGGACTGGGAGCATATGCAGGACACCTGTGCTTCTCCAGCAGGCCCGGTGCCCTCCAGGAAGGAGACCCTGGTGGAGGAGACCTCAGCAGAGTCCAGTGAGGATGAGATGGTGGCATCTTCCCAGGTAACCGCAAGGACAGGGCTGGCAGCCTAATGGGGCTCAGACTGGATCGCAGGCCAGGCGCCCTCTCCTGGGCCTTCGGGTCAGCTCTGGGCCCTCCCTCTTCCCAGGATCCCTGGGCAGGGTCCTGTCTGCAGGTCACTGCGTGTCTCCCCAGGCTCCATCCTGGTGGAGCACGGGAGGGTCACCCTGGGGTCTGTGACTTGAAGGGCTGACTTGGTTCTGGAGCTGCCTAGATAGTCTGTGCCAGATCCCTTCTAAAGTCACCTTCTGTGTAGGATTTTCCATTTGCATTATATAGTAAGATGTGTCCTTTTGAATTATGCCTGTCTAAAGAATATATTAATTCAGGTAGCTCAGAAGGTGTACACTGAGTCCTCCCCATCCCCACCTTGGTGCGAACCCACCCCTTAAGGCCCTCACAGCAGGCCACAGCCTCAGCCAGATGAAGGGGCCTGCGGCCTCTTTCACACTGGGCTTCTTCAGTCTCTCCTCTCAGGTTATGTGACCCCTGGACTGACTCCGGCCAATTCCCAGGCTTCAAAGGCCACCCCCAGGCCAGACCCCAAGCCCTCTGTCTCCTCTCCTCCGGCCACCAAAGAGGACCCGGGCGGCAAGTGGGAAGCAGCACCGCAAGCAGCTGGCGCCATGTCCCCTCAAGCAGGTGGGTTGAGGCTACAGGAGGGACGAGGCCGTGGGCCCGTCTTGCTCTCTTGCGGCAGCAGTGCCCCAACAGGGTCCTGTCTGCCTCCAGGGCCTCTGCGAGTGAGATCCTGGGGTCCTGTGCCCAGGCACTTGGTTCCAGTGTCTGGTGGGATAACTCTGCCTCCCAGCAGGTCTTTGGGCTTGTGGGGTGGTCCCTGGCCCTGTCCAGCCATCTCTGCCAGCTTTTCTTCCCAGCAGGTAGGCTCCTGGTGTGGGATGCAGGGCCTGAGAGGGTAGCTTAGACAATAGGCCAAGTCACATTTGGAGGAATCTCCGGGGTGTAGAAGAACCTCAGGCGATGGATGACCCAGGGGCAAGCCCCTAGCCGCACGGGGCCTCTGTCTTAACCAGACAAAGCAGGGTGGACACGCCCATCTGTTTCAAGGTATGATACACGTGGAAGATAGTCATGTATTTGGAGGGCAGACTGGAGTACTTGGGTCACACTGCCTGAGGCATCCACCACCCCTGACTCTGCAGAGCTAAGGGACAAGAATCTCAGATAGGCACCCCTGGGGTAGCTCTAGGGGTCCCCCAGCCGTGGTGTTCTGAGGTGTTTGCAGACAAAAAGCAGAGAGGTGGGCCTTGGGGAGACAGTTGCCAGGGCCAACCATGCCCTCCCCAGCTTCTCTTTCCAGTTGGCTCCTGCCCTCGCCAAGAGTCACCAAAGGTTGGCATTAGGCCTCCATCATCCCGGGACCCCTTGTTCTCTGCCTGCCCTGCCCACTTCCCCAGCCTACCACAGCTCTGGAGTCAGAAGTTGCTAGGGACCCTCCATGGGGCCGAGGGTGTGTCAGGCTCAACAAACACTACGGGGAGTGCTCGGGCCTCGTGACGTGGACATGGACACATACCTCGGAGCCACCTTCCGAGCCCCTCATGGGGGAGCCAGGTGCCGGTGAGGCCAGAGTGGGCGGGCCCCCACAGGCCACCTAGGAGTTCGAAACCCAGTGGGCCCTGGAGTCCTGCTACAGCATGCACAGGCCCAGGCCGCTCTGGGAGAGGAGTCTGCTCGCTTTCTTCCCCGGGCTCTCCGTGAGAGGCGGGTGCGACAAGGAGACGTTTTAGAGGGGGCTGTGGAAGGTTTTTTATACACGTGTAGTCAGCACACAATTATCAGAGGCAAGCAGAGGCGGGGAAAATTCTCAACAAAGGCTGTACCAGCAGTCGCTCTGGCAGGCAGCAAACCTGCTGAGTCAGCTGCACGTGTGTGCCCCGCACCAGCGCTCCCACCCGCCTGGACCCCCAGCTGGGGAGGCTGCATATGGGTGGGCCTGAGCTGAGCTGTGCACGGCCTTTGCGCTTACTGTGAATCTGCGGTGTGTCCGGGCCTCGCTGGTCAGCCCCGCGGGTTACAGACTGGGACTCCAAGGCCCCAAAGAGCCGGGTCCTGGCCAGAGTCCCATAACAAGTCAGTGGGAAAGTCAGGCCGAGGCCCCAGCCCTCCCCTTCCAGCTCGGGCATCTGTCCCTGGGTAGCTCGCATGGGGTTTTCAAGGTGAGGAGACCAAGGGAAGCTCTGAGTTGGAAGTGAGATCAGGGGGCATGCCTGGCAGACAGTGTGAGCGCGGGAGGCAGCAGCGTCTCTGTCCCCACCTGTGCCACTGGAAAGAAAGGGGGCAGCTCCCTGCAACCCTCAGCTCTCACCATAGGATCTCCCCCAGCTCCCCAAGGTCTGTGACCCAAGTCTTCTCTCCACAGGTAGAAAAGAGGCCGCCTTGGGTGCCACACCTCAGAAGCCCAAGAAGGGGCTTGGGAGCCCCCCAGCCTCGAGGCTGGCGCTGCAGAACGACATCGCCCAGCGCCTTGTGGGCGCGCCCTGGCCCCTGAGCGAGGCCCAGGTGCAGGCCTCAGTGGCAAAGGTGCTGGCAGAGCTGCTGGAGCAGGAGAGGAAGAAGGCCACGGACACCGCCAAGGAGGGCAGCAGGCAGGGCTGCACGAGCCGCAAGCGGAAACTGTCAGGGGACCAGCTGGCCGCCAGGGCCCCCAAGAGCAAGAAGAAGAAGCAGCCGGCCGCAGGGGAGGACGGGGGGAACACAGTCTCCCTGGAGAAGGCCTCCGGGACTTCCAAGGGGAAAGGGAAGAGCGACAAAGCCAGTGGTGACAAGGAGAAGAAGGGGAAGGGGCCTCTTGGCTCCCAGGGGGCCAAGGACAAGCCTGCAGCCAAGGCTGAGGGCGGAGGGCAAAGCAACCCAAAGAGCAAGAAGGAGAAGAAGTCCGACAAGAGTAAGTGGCCCTGCGGGGGGCGGTCGAGCTCCCAGTTGAGGGCAGGGCCCCTCAGCCAGTGTCTGGTCCCAGTCCTCCCGCACGGAAGGGAAAGGCAGACAGTGGGGCTTGTTCAGGTCGTGGGGGCGCTGGTGGCAAAGCCAGTGCGGTGTGGACCGGGCCCCAGCATGCCTGAGTCCTCATCCCAAGCCCGTATTCTCTGAACGTCAGTTTCCCCCAGTGGTACTGTGGGCCCTTCACTGATCTCTTGCTAGACTCTGCAGGCGGAAGGACCTCATTTAGTTCTCACCAGCCCTATCCAGTGGGCAATATCTCATTCCCATCTTCCAGGTAGAAAACAGACTCAGAAGTAGAGGCGCTGCTCAGGGCCACAAGAGTTACTGGGTGGGGCCAGAGCCAAACGGAAGCAGCACTTCCGAGTACCACCAGGGGGTGCTGGAGAGGCGAATGGGCAGTGTGGACGCCCCAGAACCCACTCATTGGAGAGTGGGCGCCCGGAACCTCAGTACAGGACGTGCTGCCCCTGGGAGCTCAGAGCCGTGCTGGGTTTCTGTTGACAGTAGGGACAGATAGTGTCCTTTCTAAGAAGAGTTTTTAAAAGTGAGTTAATTTAAAGAAAAAGGGTAGCTTGTCCAGGTGGACCATGGATGAGACAGAAATCATGAGACTGGCCCTGCCAAGTGGTCACCAGGGTCGCCAGACCACTGTGGTGGCTCCGTGGTGGGGGAGAGCTGGGACAAGCCAGGCAGGAGTGAGTGGCAGGGTCCTCGGAGCCCCTCCTGTGTGCTCCACCATGGACCCCAGCATGTAGGATTTACACGCGCCTGCTCAGGATGTTCACTTTTTTCCCTCAGAAAAAAAAGACAAGGAGAAAAAGGAAAAGAAGAAGAAGGCTAAAAAGGCCTTAGCCAAAGACTCTGAATCGCCACTGCAGAAAAAAAAGAAGAAAAAGGTAGAGTGAGTTCCCGTGGGTCTCAGGCCAGAAGAGGAACCCACATACCCAGACCTGGCCTTGCCCTGTCCCCAGGGTCTGATGGGGACCTGGGAGTTTTGGCACACTGAGGAAGAGGCAGAAGGACCTGTCCCCTCCCTGAGTGTGTGGAAGCACAGGAATGTCCTCTCTGAGGGGAAGGGTGTCGGGGACATGGAGGAAGGAGAGACCAGGCGGCCGGAAGTCCAGGTGGGCTGGGGCCAGTGAGAGGAGATATGACTCGGGCTATCGTGCCCGACTGACAGGGTTTCCCACCGAAGAAACACTTGCCCCGTCTACTGCGTGGGCATCCAGGCTGCTGCCCTCGCAGCTGTCCTTGAGACCCGGGTCCTTGGCTGTGTTGCAAGGGCTGGGCTTCTGTTGCTACAGGGCTCCCTGGGCTGTAGCAGCACCATCTGCCCTCGGGGATCCCTGCACCCCCAGTGCCTGGTCCTTGGGAATAGGGACTGCAGCGGGTAGGGAGGAGACTCGGGTCTCAAGCCCCTCGCCCTTCTCTCCTCAGAAGAAGACAGCGGAGCAGACCGTGTGAGGCCCGCCCAGGCGCAGGTAACGCACGCTTCTGCCTCTCCCTGCACCTGGAGTGGGAGGGCAGCTCAGACCTCCACCACAGTCGCAGAGGGCCCAGCAGGCCTGCTCAGTGGGCTCTGGGGGTCGGGGGCTGGGAAAGAGTTTCCATTCCTAAGGGAAGGCTTTGTGGGGCCAGCGGTATGACGCCAGGAGCTGGCGCCGCAGCACAAGAAGGACCCAGAACAGTGATGGCCGTAGCTCCACCAGACGCCCCCGATGCGGGACTGTGTGTGTCTTGGGGCGGGCACCGGGACCTGTCTGGTGAGGTTGGACACCTGGTTTCCCCCTTGCTCCATCCAGTTCCTGTTCCTTATGCCCTCGTAAGGTGGAGGCATTTCTCTTGGGAAACAAGATGGTCTGCTTTACAGACCCCGTTCACCTTCCACCTGGCCATACCACCCTGCCATCGCCCACCTCCAGCAGGTGGGGGAGTACAGAACCCTCCTCTCGGGCTGGCAGTGAGGCTTGCTTGAGGCCTGGGTAGTGCTGAACACCGAAGCCCTCAGCCCATTGCCCAGGATGCACCAAGTGCTAAAAACTGTCCGCTATGGCTGGTGAATGCTACCCCCAGCACCTCCTCCCTCCCCTTGTTGGAGATGCCAGCTTTTATTTTCCAGGACGAAGTAAAAGGTCAAGAAGTCTGATCTCTGGATGTTTCCTTCCCCAGGGATTTTCCAGCCGAGGGGCCATCCCCATGCCTCGACTTCTGCCGATCTCTGCCCGCCGCAGGTGGGGATGAACTGCTAACTTCCCTCTGCCCACAGAAGGTGGCCAGCCGCAGGATCCCCATGTGGCCATGCCCGTGAGCCTGCAGGGAGACTGGCCAGAGGACACAGACCCTGCTCCTGTGGCCTCCCTCACGCCCCCACGTGGACACTTCGTATAGATGTGTACAGGATATATATATTTTTTAGAGTTGGGGTAGACTCTGTTGCCCAGACTGGAGTGCAGTGACACAATCACGGCTCACTGCTGCCTCGACCTCCTGGATTCAAGCTTATTTAATGTTTTCTATTTTTTCCTTTAGAGACAAGGGTGTCGCTCTGTCGCCTAGGCTGGAGTGCAGTGGTGCAGCCATGGCTCACTGCAGCCTCGAACTCCCGGGCTCGAGTGATTCTCTTGCCTCTGCCTCCCGAGTAGCCCTGCCAACATAGCTATTTTTTTAAGTGACCTGCCTCCCCTCACAAGTCCACCATGCCGGAGGCCCCAGGACTCCCTCGCTGCGCTCACAAATCCGGGAGGCCCAGGCCAGGGCTCTGCCCTCCCCTCGTCGGTTCTCTCAGCTGTGTTTTGTTTTTCTTAAAAATGCAGAAAATAAAGGACTTGCAGGAAAGGCCTAAGTCCCCAGCGCATCTGGGCAAATGTTTTGCGTTGGCTTGTTCTTGGGAGGGACAGCCTGGCTGGTACCTTGGGATGGACAAGTTGTCACTCGGCCCCTCCCAGGCCTGGGACACCATGGGTGTGGGACAGGCAGAAGAGGTACTGGGTGAGGCCCTGGGAGGTGTCCTGGCCCAAGCAGCATCCTGCTGAGGGATGCTCATCGTTGGTTTCCGGGTGCCAGAGTAGGCTACGCAGATGCCCAGAGGCAGGACCCGAGGGGCCTTGCAGTCACCTCTTGGGCTGGGGCAGCTTCTGTGAGGTGCGCAGTGGAGGCCAGCAGCCGGCACAATAGCCCTTGTGGACAGTGTGGACAGACCTGTGCGGTGAAGCAAGGAGTGGACAAACATGCACCACGTGGGTGACGTCTGCAGGACCCGGGTGGCTCAGGTGCAGGCTGAGGGAGGGGCAGCGAGGGCCGCCTCCCGATCCAGCCTGTGAATGCAGAGGTCTGGCTCCAGGGGCTGGGGTGTGCAGCCTGCTGTTGGAGACAGCAGAGGCCGGGCAGAAAGAGCACAGAGCTGGGAGTTGTGGGGCCTGGGCCAGCTTCCCGCTGCACCCAGGACGTGGTGGAGGCCAGGCCCTCTCGGTGCAGCCTCGCCCCTCCAGGGTCCCCGTTGAGCCTTGCAGGCCCAGCAAGTCTTTAAGGGGACGATTTCTCTGAAGTTGTCAGTGTCTGACTCGTCCTAAAGAGTCTGCGCATTGGACACCGGGGCCCGCGCCCGCCTGTAGCACCAGCTGGAGCCGAGCAGGCCACCCAGGGGAGGGCCCGGGAGCCAGTTCTCCACCATCCCCCACTTCCTGTCCATCCCGGACATCAGGGCCGAGCCGGTGCCATCTGCTGTCACACGCACTGTTCTTAGTATAGAAATGGAATTGGGGACGTGGGGGTGAGCTGGGCCGAGAGGAGCTTGAGCTCAGAAACTAGGCGAGCGCCTGTCTCTGGAAGCGAGGGGACTGTGTGTTCAACCTGCCACCATGCGTGTCTGTCCAAGCTGCAGCCCTGCCGTCCCTGCGGAGGCTGCCCTCTGCCCCCATGACTGGGCCCAGGAAACTCGGTTGCCCCTTGGTACCTGTGGGGTGAGCTTGCAGGATCCCAATAGAAGAGCGGGGCCAGTGTTCTACTCACTACCTTTTATTCCCATGAGCTGGGCCCTGGAGCTGATGCCAAGCTTGGCTGGGCAGGGGGAACTGGGGTGGGGAGGGGGAGGGGAGTGAGCTTTCCTTGGGGTGACGCCGGGAGAGCGAAGAGGGCAGCTCAGAGACAGACAGGAGAGGGGCCAACTAGTGTGCCCAGCTGGGGCCTGGCTGTCCCTTCTGTGCCTTCCACCTCTCCCGTGGGCCTGGTTTCAGGGCCCCGCGTCAGGGGCTGCCGTGATGTCAGGAATGGGGGTCCGCCTTGCTTTGGGCCGCCTCCTTGGGCCAGAAGGGGTGGCAGGGAGGCCCTGCTGGTGGTTGTCTGTGCTGCTGATTGCCAGGTCCAAGGACGATGGAGAGCCGGTGCCGGGGTCTCACGGGGGAGGGGCCGGTGGGAGCGGAGTGGAGGAGAGCGGGAGAGCCGTGAAGTGCAGGGCCGGCGCTGGGCCCTCTGCCGTCACACAAAGACTGTGGAGAAGGGCGGGCTGAGGCTGGGTCCCTGTCGGCCCTGCCCCGACCCACACACAGGGTCCACCAGAGTCAGGGACCGTCGCCTCCGCTGTCCTGCTTGGATGTGAGCACTGACCGCCAAGGGTCTGTGGAGACCCCAGCCCTCAGCCCCGTTCCCATCTGTGAAATGGTCATCCCGGGGTGTCTGCCCCCAAGGGAGCCGGGCCCATGGGGATGAGCTGTGGTGACAGGTGCCTGCATGGTCTCACCTTGGCCCATTTCCTGCTTGGTGACGTCCAGCCCAGAAGACAGGTCCTCCAGGTCCAGGGACTCTGCAAGGGAGCAGCAACCACAGGTGACGCGGGGAGCCCACCCCACCGAGGCACCTGGACGGCTTCCAGTCCGCCGCAGGCAATAGGGCGAGGGTGCGCGAGGATGGCACGGTGGGGGTCACAGGCAGAAGGACTGGAGGACAGGTGGCAGGTGGTGCAGATGCGTGTGGGTGTGGAGAGGCCTGACGGTGGCTGCCCCGAGCTGCCGTCCCGTGTCCTGTGGGCTCCAGGGCCCTCGCCCTCGGTGCTCTAGGCCTTTCTAAAGTCCTGACGGTGGCGCCGCTTACCGCTGCAGTTGCGGTGGCCGCGGCTCCTGGTATGGGGGACCTCGGTGCCGTTGGGGAAGACGCACCAGCAGTAGCCGGTGCTGCCGTAGCACTGCAGTGGCATGTAGTTGCCGTTCTCGTCGCACTTGGGACTGAACGTGCCCGGGTGCACGGCCGGGACACGGCTGACCTCCTCCTGGCACTTGGTCTGTGCTGAAGCGACAGCGTGGCAAGGGCAGTGAGGAGCGGGCTCCGGACCAGGGTCTCGGCAGAGCTCCACACTCCACTGTGGGGCCACATGGCTGCACTTGCTCCACCCATGACTCGCATGGGGAAATTGAGGCCTGATCCCTGGACCCACAGGGTCCAAGGTCAAAGAGGACATGCGGTAATTTACCCAAGAACCTGAGTTTCTTCTGCACTCAAAGCCCAGTAGACTTAAGGACTGCATGTGTGGTGGTGACGTCCAGGGAAAGGCCGTGGACGCCTTGTGAGCTTAGGCTTCCTGCTCTGGGAGTTCCCAGGTGGAAACGAGCTCTATTGGGGTTGTCAAGGGAGGCCTGTAAGGTGCCATCCGTGAATCCGGTGGGGAAACTGAGGCCCAGGGCAGGGCGGGCATCGGCCTTCAGCTTCAGGACCCTAAAGCCCAGAAGGGAGTGGCCCGCCCACAGTTGTGCAGACAGCACCAGGTGGACCAGCGCTCCCAAGACAGCGGGCCCAGAAGAGCTGGCACGCCTTGTGTGTGAGGTGGACACGTCCCCGCCCTTGGCTGGGCCCTCACTGGAATTGCTGGGGGCAGACGTTACGAGAATTCCTGCCTGGCATGCTCCAGGCTGGCTTTGTGGCAGGCTGCCTTGGGCAGTGCTGTCCTCCACAAGGGAGGTCACCCCATGAGGGAGGCTGCCTCGTGAAGGGAGGTCACTTCATGGAGGGAGGCTATCGTGAGGGGCGGCCACCTGGCGGAGGGAGGTTATCGCAAAGGGAGGCCACCTTGTGAGCAAAGTCACCTTGTGAAAGTCACCTCATGAGGGAGGCCACCTCAGAAGCCACCTCATGGCGGAGGCCTTTTACCCGGCGGGCCCTTACAGAACCACAGACAAGATGGGGCCCGGGGCAGCTGAGCCGAGAAGGAGCAGGCAGGAGAGACAGAGACGAGAGAGGAGAGAGGGTTGGAGGCCGGCGCTGTGCTTGGATGAGGGCGCCCTGGCGACCCGGCCTCGGCACCCCAGCGTTCCCGCCTGTGCACCTTTGGGTGGGTCCTCGGTGGGCTTCTCCTCTGAGGGGTACTTGCTCATCTCAAACAGGAGCCAGTGGTGCATCCAGCTCTCAAAGACCTGATGGGGAGGAGGCGGGGTGAGGCTCGGTGCCCGCCCACCCCACCCACCCCACCCTGCCCCGGCCACGGAAGCATGGGGCCAGCCGGGGCCCGGCTTCTGGGGTCCAGCTGCAGCCCAGTTCGCCTGGAAGACCCAGGTGGCTCTCAGCGCCACACACTCTTGGGGTCCACACACCGTAGGGCCGAGCAAGCCCCCTCGGCTTCCTGAATGGCTTCCTCGGCCCAGTCCTCCCGCAGGTCTTTCCAGCCCTGCCCGAGCTATAGGGGTGGTGCTCGTGCGGGGAGTCGCTGACCTTCCATTCCAGGGGGTTCATGGTGTCCTTGAGGTGCCTCAAGTTCTCTGGGAGGCTCCCCTTCATCTGCGGGAACACCTTCAGGGGGTTGCCCTTCTGCAGGGCGGCAGGGCAGAAAAGGTGGTTTAAAAGAGCTCCCTGGTGGGCAAGGTGAAGTGTGTAGCCTCCGCTCCCCTGGTCTAGCTTCTTTTTTTTTGAGTTGGAGTCTCATTCTGTCACCCAGGCTGGAGTGCAGTGGCACACTTACAGCCACCGCAGTCTCGACCTGCTGAGCTCGGGCAATCCTTCCACCTCAGCCTTCCAAGTAGCTGGAACTACAGGCATATGCCGCCACACCCAGCTTTTTTTTTTTTTTTTTTATTGTAGAGACTTCTCACCAACTTGCTCAGGTTGGTCTTGAACCCCTGAGCTCAGGCAATCCTCTCGCCTCAGCCTCCCAAAGTGCTGGGATTACAGGCTTGAGCCACCATACCCAGCCTTTTTTTTTTTTTTTGAGTCAGGGTCGCACTCTGTCACCCAGGCTGGAGTGCGGTGACACGATCACGGCTCACCACAGCCTCAAACTCCTGGGCTCAGGTGATCCTTCTTCAGCCTCCCAAATAGCTGGGACTACAGGCATGGGTTACCATGCCTGGCTAATTTTTTTTTTTTTTTTTTAGAGACAAGGTCTAGCTATGTAACCTAGGCTGGTCTTGAACTCCTGGGCTCAAGCAGTCCTCCTGTCTCCCAAAGTGCTGGGATCACAGACGAGAGCCACCATGCCTGGCCACCTTGGCCTTCCACTGTGAGAGGCACCAAGTCTAGATCCGCAACCTCAAGCCAGGGTGGAGAGTGGAAACAGGCCAGCTGTGCAGCTGTAAGATCCCAGGATTGGAAGTCAAGGCCCAGGGTCCAGGCCAGCTCTACCAATGACCCTAATCCCTGCAGAGAGCCACTCATCTTTCAGGTCTTAATTCCTCCAGGAAGTCTTCCTTGATCACCCCCAGCTAGGTTAGGTCCTCTGCCTCTTTCCTCACAAAACCCCCTGGACCTCTCTGATCACTGGTCGCTTGTCTGTCTCCCACACTAGTCTGGGATTTCCCGTGGCTTCAGGAACTGGGTCCACTTGCTCCCATGTGGGCCCAGGACCTGGGACAGTGCCTGCCACAGAACAGATATGCAGTAAAAACGGGAAGAAAAGAGGGGTGTCACTTCCAAGTTTGGGCCTCAGTTTCTCCATGTCAGAAATAGGGGAGACTGTACTGCATATCGCATTTAAGGGCCACCCTTGAAGCTGTTGAAAGACAGACAGGTGTGTGGGCCCGGGGCTCGGCCTTGCCGGGGTCCCCGGTGGGTGGATGGGTGGCCTGGCCCGGCAGCTCCCTGCACCTACCAGAAGCAGATGCATCACGTGGTCCTGCGTCATGTTGCCATGCTTGGTGGCGTTCTGCACGGGCTTTGGGAGGAAAGAACAGGGTCACAGCACTGGCTGGGCGCATGGAGTGGGAGCCAGCTGAGTAGAGTCTGCTGTCCCAGCACTCAGCGCACCCCCCTGGCACCTCTGAATGTGAGCACTCGAGCAGGCCACCTCACCCTCCTGCCTCCCTGTCCTCATTGTCAGCTGCACGGGCTTTCCTGCCCAGGACTTTTGTCTGCAACCGTTTTGTGAACAGCAACATTATCACTACGTGACAAGGACTTTGAGAGGAGAGACAGGAAGATGCTTTGGGACATGAGAAGCCCTGTCAACTGTGGAGGGCCAGGCTTCCTTCCAGGGAAGGCCCCAGCGACCTTTGCCCCTGTTCCATGCTCTGGGGTGCCCTCTTCTTCCTGACGTGGGCCCTGCCGCTCCCCCAGCAGCCAGGACCCCCTCCCCAGCTGGGCTCTCCCGGGCACCGTCTCCCATCCAGGTGACATTTTCCTGCCACCACGCCGGGGCTGTCCTTACCCCCTGGGGCAGTCCTCCCATGGGCAGCGCCTGCATCAGCAGGGGGGTGGCCATCCGCATCTGGCTCATCAGAGGCTTGGGAGCTGTGGGGCAGGGTGTCAGGGGCACAGCGTGAGTGTGGTCCCCGGGCCCAGGGAGGCGGGTATTCAGACCCCAGACCAGAGGGAGGGGATGGAGGCCCCCACTGGGGACAGGGACGTCTCAGAGGTGAGGGATGGGGGGGCGTGGGGTGGTGGGGGTGCACGCACGCTTGGGAAGCTTCATGCGCAGGTTCTCCAGCTGCAAGTTCTGGGAGGTGACGGTCAGCTTGTCCAGTCGGCCCTGCTGCTGGTACAGGAAGTAGGCAGTGGTGGCCTGGCCAGCCAGGAGCAGGGCCACCAGAACAGAGAAGCCTGTGTACACGGCTCCACGGCTGCACCTGTTGTTGGAGGGGGAGTGAGTCAGAGGAGAATTCACGGAGGCAGGTGACCGCAGGACATCCCCGTCAGCCCTGAAGCCACCCTGACAAACGCACCTTAAGCACAAGCAGGAAGCTGGCTGTGGAAATGTAGCTCAAAAACATTACCAGCCCTCTTCCCAAACCTGAGGCATCTGACGTCCTCCCAGGTGGGGATACTGCCGCTGCCTGGGCCCAGGTTAGACAGGGAAGAGCCAAGAGACTCATTGCTGGTCCTCTGGGCCTTGGTGTTCCATCTGGGCAAGGAGGGGTGGGGCTGCAGTGTATTCCCAGGCCCCTTTGTCAAGGGGATCTCCTGAGGATCAGGGTTGCCCCCGAGGGGAAGAGCTGGTGTTTCATTTTGTTTTTCAAGAGAGGGTCTCACTCTGTCGCCCAGGTTGGAGTGCAGTGGTATGATCACAGCTCACTGCAGCCTCAAACTCCTGGGCTCAAGCAGTCCTCCCACCTCGGCCTCCTAAGTAGCTGGGAATACAGACATGGGCCACCATGCCAGCTAATTTATTTTTATTTTTTTTCTGTAGAGACGAGATCTTGCTATGTTGCCCAGGGTGTTCTCGAACTTCTGGCCTCAAGCAATCCTCCTGCCTTGGCCTCCCAAAGTACTGGGATTACGGGTGTGTCTGGCTGTTTTGTTTTCTTTTTTTTTTTCTTTCTTTCTTTTTTTTTTCTTGAGAAAGCACGATTTATTGAGAGGACAGAAAAGCTCTCATAGTAGGAGGGAACCCGAAGGGGGGTTGCCCCTGTTTTGTTTTCTAGTCGACAAAAAAAGGATGTACTTACCATGGAAGAGGAAGGGAGTTTTCACCTTCCTACGTTACCCCTACCCCTTCAGGGAAATCAGATTTAAGGAGAATAGGGAAGGAAGGAGAACTTGGAGAGCAGAACACGTGGCCCACTTAAAAGAAGTGGCGCCTTGACATTTTGAGAGCCGGTTGGGGGAGCTTCAGGCTGGAGCAGGGCCAGGCCCCGCCCCCTCCGGAGACACTTGTCCGCCCAGACCCCCATGTCTTCAAGCAAGTCTCTGCCGGTCTCTGGGCCTCTGTTCCCTCGCCTTCACAGGGGTACCCCTTGCTTCAGCGGTTCTAGTTGGTGGTTCTCTTCTTTTAAGCAAGATCTCACCGTGACCGCAGAAGTATTTGTGGTCACAGTTATTACCCTTACCAAGTGGTCATGCCCAGCCGGCGGGGGGTGGAGATTTCCACAGTGTAGGTGCCTGAGCCCGTGTGACCTGGGTGAATCTCTCTTGCTCTCTGTCCTCACCGTCTGCACAGTGAGGTGTAGCCAGACCCTCAGACCTCAGGGAGCCCTTGCAGCAGTGGGCTGTAGATGTGGCTTTGGGGGCACCTGCACAGGTTCCTGGACGGGCCATGAAGATCCTGACCCAGGACCCTGAGCACTCCTGGCCTGTTATTCCTCGACCCATCCCCAAGAGTGGGACTGCTAGAAACCTGCTGTGGTTGGAAAGTGTCCCCTCCAAAATGCAGGTGTTGCCGGGCTGGGAGGTGTTTGGGCCACGAAGTCTCCTCCCTTGTGAATGGGATTAGGAGCCTTTGTAAGGGGGCCTGTCGGGAGGAGTTGGTTCTCTGCTGACTTTCCACCTCCGCCCTGGGAGGACACAGCAGGAAGACCCTCATCAGATGCTGGCACCTTGATCTGGGACACCCTGGCCTCCAGAACTGTGAGAAATACATTTCTGTTCCTTGTGAACGGTCCAGTCTGTGGTCTTCAGTTTTAGCAGCACAAAACGGACTAAGACCCGTTGGAAACTGACTGTCGCTGCACCCGCCTACTCCAGAGACCAGTGAGGATGGTTAAGGAAACTCCAGGAGACCCTTCTGCCTGGTAACTCATGATGTCACAGACACAGGTCATTCTTATTGGCTCTCTGCTTGCCAGTCTTCTGTGCTTTCTGGGACAAGGCCCAGCCCAAAGGAGAATCATTTTGGAAGGAAAAAGCAGAAACTGCATGGGGAGGGGGAGGAGACCAGACAGGAGGGGAAAACAAATTCCACTTCTTGGCCTTCCCAAGGAGGGTAGACCAGGCTGTCTCTCCAGCCTCATCCTCTCTGCTTGGTCAGTGTCTCTGCCACCCACACCCAGTCTTAGCCCTGGTCTACCTTCCATGGGGAGATGCGGGAAGTCCCCTCCCATCTCTGCATCGCTGTCTCTCGGGAGGCCTGAGAATCTAGAGATTCTCACAGCCAGTGAGACCACATAACCTGGACTGGACCCCTGGCTCTGTACTCCCTCAGCCCTGGTACCATGAGCAAGTCTCTGAACCCTCTGTGTCAGTGATATCAGGTCAGCGTGTCTACTCCAAGGGCTGTTAGTTAAATGAGATAAAGAGGTAAAGCTCACAGCTAGCACTCCATAAGCGAGTAGCACTTAGTACTGTTCTCAGGGTTAATAGTTAACTTTAGCATCTGGCTTCTTCCTCTTTCTGTGTCTTGAATGCCTGTCCCCTGGTTCTGGTAGAGTGCCAACTCTTATCACCCTCCTCTCTTTATTTTCTCCTTTGCACTGCCTCCTTCTGGAATAAAAAAAAAAAAAAAAAAAAAAAAAAGGAATTGGGCAAAGTCAGGAGCCAACCAGAACCAGCCGTAAGCATGACACAGACGTTGCCAGGCAGAAGTGTTCACAAAAGTCTCCGAAACCGGCTCCGCTCTGGAATGACCTGAAGTGAAGACCAGATGAGGATTTGACAAAGGGGCACCTTCTCCAAACATGGAACCCACCTGGGTCCACAACTCACCAGGTGACCTGAGCCCTCCCCACAAATCGCACCTCCAACAGGGGCTGGTAGAGGTGCGAGCTCACGCTTCAAAGGCAGACTAGTCCTGGGTCCAAGTTCTGCCTCTAGCCCTCACTGGCTGCGATAACTTGGGTAAGCCACTTACCAACATGAGCCTCAATTTTCCCTTCTGTAAAAAGGCATAAGGCCGGGCTTGGTGGCTCAGCCTGTAATTCCAGCACTTTGGGAGGCCGAGGCAAGTGAATTGCCTGAACCCATGGGTTCGAGACCAGCCTGGGCAACTTGGTGAGACCTTGTCTCTAAAATAAATAAAAAATTAGCTGGGCATGGTAGCATGCACCTGTAGTTCCAGCTACTTGGAAGGTTGAGGCGGAGGGATCGCCAGAGCCCAGCAGGTTGACGCTGGAGGGGCGGTGAGTGTGCCACTGCCCTCCAGCCTGGGCGATGGAGTGAGACTCCAACTCAGAAAAAAAAAAAAGATAATAAAAGTACCCAATTTGACCTGTGAGGTCAGCCTTTAGTTATGGGTCTAGCAAATAATCACAGTGATGACTATCAACAACCGAAGACCCATGCCAAGCACACATGGATGGGAACAATTGTGGCTATGTCATGATTGCTGTTACTGACACTCTGGGAGAGGTGGTGATGTGTCCAAGGCAACATGTGACCATAGCAGAACCATCAGAATCCTGTCCTCACAAGGGAATCGGCCCTCCTTGCCAGTGCCTTCCTGGGGCTTTCACCGGCCACTCCCTCGTGGTCTGTATCTGGTTACCTTGTCCCCCAGAACACAGCTTCCCGTGGCCTAAGTGTCTCTTGCAAACCCCTTTCTGCCTGGCAACAGCTGACGTCACATCTAGCTGTAAGCCCTTGTAGGTTGTAAATTACTTTCTGGAGACTGGGAGGAGGGGGAAGAGACATTGGGGTAGCCGCACCTTAGCCCCTTTGGGGAAACCACTCGGGTGAAGCCATTTGGAGGCTGGGAGAGAGGCCCTGGGGTCCTCCGGATGGTCCTCTGACCTCTTTCTGCCAAGGCGAGGGCAGCACCCACACCAGCCCTGAGCCCCTTAGCTGAGCCCGCCCCACTTTCTTGCCACCCACTGACGTCCCTCAGTCCCTCCCACGACGGCAGACGTCTCCATCCACTCTACAGACACCTGCAACTGCGATACCTTGACACAATTCCATACGTGATGAAGGAAGGAACTCTGTTCATCCTCCTTAAGAAACTGCTTCTCCACTGGGATCTAGAACTTTTTCAAAATTGGTCCAAGTTTTCTAACCCGGGGTTCCTGGTTCCGCTCCAAGCCCCCAATACTGTGTGACACTCTGGGGGAAGAATGCAGGGCTCTCTTCTGATTTTCAGAAGCAGGAGGCCTGAGGCAAAGACGGTCGCCAGCCCCTGCTCCAAAGGCCCCTCATGCCACAGGGGCAGGGGGACTGAAGCCCAGAGAGGGTCGGAGACCTGCTCCAAATCACCCAAGAAGTCCAGGTGGGAGTCAGACCCTGAGTCCCGCCCTCCTGCGGGCCCCACACCTGGGTACCCTTTCCCAGCGCTCACACATACCTCTCCGGGGCTCTGGGGCGCTGGCCCAGCATAGGCAGTTGTTCGTGGTTGGAGATCAGGTCACGCTGGTCTTCCATGGCTCTGAGCTCCGGTCTTCCCACAGCTCCTGCTGCCGCCGCTGCCGCCTGCGTGTCTGGGACCCGAACCCCTGAGCACCTCTTGAAGCCGACTATGGGGAACAATCTGATTCGTCCACGGGAGGCCACTCCGCCCACCTGTAGATGTGGAAGTGAAAGCCGCAAGACTGGAAATACCCCGCTCGGGCCAAGCTTCGTGGGGCAGGATGAGGAGGGGGTCCCCAGGCAGGTAGGAAGGCCGGCGCGATTCCATTGGCTGCCCAGGGCCTCATCACTTGTTTCTAAGCAGACCTTCGGGTTCATAAGGCCCAGTGGATGCTTCAAGAAACTTCCTGCGGGAAATCGCTTTGAAGCACAAAGTGCTTTTGTTTGCCCCCTGAGGCATACAGCAGTGGGTGTGAACAGGGCTGGGCACCCCAGGGGCTTAGACAGTCTTCCTCTTTAGCCTTCTAAGTCATCTCAAAAATGGGGGAGGAAGGTTGGACTCAGTTTCCCTCTTCTCCCTTGTGCCTCCAGCGTTTTATGAAACTGTAGGAGAAACAAGCATAATTTCTTTCCCTTTTTGGGTTCTTAGTTGAGATCCTCTCCTGAAAGCAAAAGTCAGGTAAACAAAGTAAAAACAAGCAGAAGTTGTATAACAGTGAAAGCAATCTATCGTTTTTGTTTTTATTTTACTTTTTTATGTATTTATTTTTTAAGTCGGGGTCTCACTGTGTTGCCCAGGCTGGACTCAGGTGATTCTTCTGTCTCAGCTTCCCAGGTAGCTGGAACTGCAGGCACACACCACCACGTCTGGCTAATTTTTTTATTTTCATTTTTTGTAGAGATAAGGTCTCGCTGTGTTGCCCAGGCTGGTCTCAAACTCCTGGACTCAAGCAGTCCTCCCACCCCAGCCTCCCAAAGTGCTGGGATTATAGGCATGATCCACTGATCCCTGCCCATGTTTTTTTTTTTTAATTAAAAAAGTTTTTCATTTTTAATTTTTATTTTAGTTTCAAGGGGGTACCCCTGAGTGTTGATTACATGGACATATTGTGTAGTGGTAGGGATTGGATCTTGGGTGGCCCATTCCCCAGATAGGGAACGTTGTGCCTTGTAGGTAGTTTCTGTCATGTCATTTTTATTTTTATTTTTTAATTATTATTTTTTTGAGTCGGAGTCTCACTGTCACCCAGGCTAGAGTGCAGTGGCATGCTCACAGCCACCGCAGCCTCAACCTGCTGGGCTCCAGCCATCCTTCTGCCTCAGTCTTCCAAGTAGCTGGAACTACAGGCACACGCCACCATGCCCAGCTAATTTTTTCTTAATTTATTTTAGAAACGAGGTCTCACCAAGTTGCCCAGGCTGGTCTTGAAACCCTGGACTCAGGCAGTTCTCTCGCCTTGGTCTTCCAAAGTGCTGGGATTACAGGTTTGAGCCACCATGCCTGGCTGCCATGTCATTTTTAAAACTCAGAGATTAAAGGAAAAACATGTAAACAACTAACTGTTTTATTAAAAACTTACAGGAACATTATGACCTGACCAAGGACAAAGAAGCGTGCCAGCCTCCTCAGACTCTCGCTGGCACCTTGGTCCCAACTCCTCCTCTTTCCCTGCCCTTGCCATAAAAAGAGCCTGGCTTAAGTAAGGATGGGTCTTTAGGACAGGGGAACCTACCATCTTCTTGGTTTGCTGGTTCTCCGAAATCAAGTTGCCTTCCTGATCACTTGAGGACAGGGCTGATGAGGGAGGAGGGAGCCAGCGTGGCCGGTGTCTTACCCTCTTGACTTTAACTGTTTGGCTTCTCTCACACCAGGGCCGTGCTCTGAAGGCCCTGCACTACCCTGCCACACACTCAGCCCTCTCTGTACCCATCACATGGCACATCTCACAGGCTTTGTTTCAGGCCATGTTTCCCGAGCTCCCCGGAGGAATGTCTTGTCATCTCCACTTGCGGATGGGGACACTGAGGCACTGAGCCCACGCACCCCCAGGACTGCTCACCCAGGAAGTGGTGGAATCGTGTGATTCAAGTCCAGAGGCCAGGGGCTTCGAGGGGAGGGAGGAAGACCTGGGATGGGGTCGGAGACCATGTGCTTAGCCACTATGGCTCGTCCACTGTGATGGAAGAAACGCCTTCACCCTCACCCCTGGCTCCTGACACAGGGATGACTAAGACCCGTCCACGTGTAGGGAGGGTGGTGTACCCCAACTCCTCGGGCACCCTTCCACGTGCCTGCCTGGTGCACCTCCCCACCTGACTCTGTCTCCAGCTGCTTCTATTATAATACACGGGTAATTATAAGGCAAGTGTTTCCCTGAGGTCTGTGGGCCATTCTAACAAATTACCAAACCTCGGGAAGTGGTCGTGGGGACCTTCAACTTACAACCGGGTGGTCAGAAATACAGGAGGCCCAGGTGGCCCAAGACGGCCATGTGAAGTGGGCGTGGTCTTGTGGAACTGAGCCCAAGCCTGGGTAGGGGGTCTGATGCCAATTCCAGGTAGGCAGTGTCAGAATCAAGCTGAATTGTAGGATGCACAGCTAGTGTCCAGAGGGTTGGAAAATTAGTTGTTGGTGTGGAAAAAAACAAAACAAAACACCCACATTCGGTGTCAGAAGTGTTGAGGATAAAGAAACAAGTTTCTGAGCCGGGCTCGGTGGCTCAGCCTGTAATCCCGCGCTTTGGGAGGCTGAGGAGAGTGGAT